CCCCGCAGGCCGCCTGCAGCGCGTGCTGGGCCGCTGCCCGCAGCTCCTGGGCCTGCCCAGGAAGCGGCTGGAGGCCGTGGAGCGGCTGCTGCGCGAGCGCTGCCTCTTCACGGCGGCGCAGCTGAGCGCCGTGCTGCACGCGTGCCCCGCCGTGCTGCTCCGCGAGCCGCCCGCCCTGCACCACCACTTCCAGGTGAGAGCCGGCGCGGCGCGGCGTGGCGCGGCGCAGCCCCGCGCGCCCCGTCCCAGCGCGCCCCGTCCCCCCGCAGTACGCCTACTTCAGGATGGGGCTGCGGCACGAGGCCATGGTGAAGGGGCGCCTCTTCTGCGCGCCCTTCGCCGAGCTGCGCCGCCGCCACGGCTTCCTCGAGCGCCTGGGGCTCTACCGGGCGCCGCGCAAGGGCCAGGAGCACCCGCAGAACCCCCAGCTGAAGGACATCCTGCACCTGCCCGAGGACGCCTTCCTGGCCAGCGTGGCCCGCGCCACGCCGCAGGAGTACGAGGTCTTCAAGAAGCTGCTGGCTCGTGAGGAGGAAGAGGAGGAACGAGAGCAGGAGGAGGAGGAGGAGGAGGAGGACGACGACGACGACGTGCTGTTTGCAGAGGGAGATGAAGACCTGGGCAGTGAAGGCTCGAGGAGCTGATGCTCCGAGGGGCCTGTCCCGCTGCCTCCATCACACGTGAGCCACGGGAGGTGAGAGGACCTGCTCCCCCGCTGCCGCCCGGGTGGCTCCGAGCTGCGGGAAGGCTCTGGTCCAGGGGCAGGCACCGGGCGCACAGTGGAGTCCTCAGGGGGCTGGCGGGGGACACAGAGGAGCTGGGGCCAGCACAGAGCACCCACAGCTCCCCCAACGCCCCACTTTCCCCCCTCCCCAAAACCAGATGTGTTATAAATAACACCCACTTTCTGTAAAGCATTTTTATCTTTTTTATTTAAAACCCAACCAAAACAACTAATTTATCCCCAAGCTGCGGGGCAGAGCGGGGGGCTGCATCAGAGGCTGCCGGGGTCCCGGCCTCACCCCAGGCTCCCGCAGCAGCAGGACGAGGAGCCCTCCTGGCTGCCAGGGGCTGTTTCTTTATTTTTCTTGCTTTGTTTTCCTTTTTGCACGGCCCGCACACGAGGAGGCCCTGCCGAGCAGCGCCGGGCCCTGCTCCCACCCTGCCGCTCTACCCTATAGCTGTGAGACACCTCTGGCCTGTATTAATTTAGCATATACAGCGTGGACAGTAATAGACACAGCTAGGGCTTAACTAGTGGCGCCATACAGACTCGTGAAAAGCTAGCTACGCTTCTAAGCTAAATGCATTTGAGGTGTTTTTTTGTTTTGCTTTTTACTTTTTTTTAACCTTTTTTCCCTCCTCGCCTTCTGCTGGCGGTGGGAACAGGGACACACGAAGGGCTGCGGGGGTCTCTGCTGCTGCCAGCGGAGCAGGGGCCTTGGGGTGGCCGCCCTTGGGGACATGGGGAAGGCAAAGGCTGCGGGAAGCGTTTCGGGGAGGGCAGCGGGGATCACTATGGGCCGGGACTTGAGGCTTTGTGGTGCCCCTTTAGCTAGGGGGAGCAGAGCTAACTTAAATGCGGGGTTGGGGACAGGGAGATGGGGCCGGTGTGGTGCGGTGCCACATGACACTGAGGACAGAGACAGCGGGACGAGGCAGCGGTGACGGAGCGGAGGCAACGGGAGGAGCGGGAAGGAAGGTGGCATGGCTGCTGCCGGGAGCGAAGCGCAGCAGCTGGGGCATCTCAGAGCCTCCGGCGGTGAAGGACGAAGCTCCTGCTGCTCCGAGGCCTGGTAGGAGCGGGAGGAGGAGGAGCTGGCAGCAGCCCGGGTGTCTGCAGGTCTTCCCTCTTGCCAGACCCGGCCCAGGCTGAGACCGGGAGCCCCTGCTGCCCCTCAGGGAAGAGTGGCGGGGGGCTGCGACTGCCCTGCCTGCGGGTGGGCTGCAGTGAGTACTTACTCTAGGGCCTCTTCAGTGCGGGACTGACGCTCTGCTTCCTGCAAGAGGAGGAGGGCAGTGGCATGAGTGGCGTGAGCGCCCCAGCGCACGGCGCGCTGGCGACACAGCCATACCTGTGCGTGGCGTGTGCGGCAGCGCTGCCCTCGCAGCTCTCCCGGTAGCAGAGGTCCTGGTGTACCTTGTAGACGCGCCTGTACCTGCGCACACAGAGCAGAGGGGCACGGTGTAGGCGGTGGCAGCAAGCGCGCTGCCTGCCTCCATCTGAGCGCRCGGCGGCCTCCTCACCGCCTGCGCGGCGCTGCTGGGGCGGCCCGGGCCGCCGCGGGGCTGCAGGGAGCTGCCCTGGGCCCCGCGCGCGGTACTCACAGGTAGCGGCAGATGCCTCCTTCCCACACAGGGAATGACTTGGTTTCCGAGTACAGCCGCGTGCACGAGAGGGGCACCTTCTTGCAGGCTGCTTGGGGAACAGGAGAGGGCGGCTAGCAGCGAGCCCACCCCCACGCTTGGCCTGCCGGGGCCCCCGGGGGCTCCCCCACCGCTGTCCTAGAGGGCTGGGCGCCGCGCGGCTCGGAGGAGGCCACCGCTGGGGACGCTGCTGCTGGGAGAGCCGGCGCGCTCGGCACTCACCCAGCTCGCAGTGGCGGCCCTTGAAGCCYGGCGCGCAGCGGCAGCGGTAGGAGCGGCCGCCGCGCACGCACGTGCCGCCGTTCCGGCAGGGCTTGGCGGAGCACTCGCGCCCGGCGCCTGCAAAGAGCCGCGCGCTGCCGTGAGCCCCGGCGGCCGGCGCTGAGGCGGGAGCCGCCTCCCTGCTGCCGCCCCACACTCACCACCGCTCCTGGCCTCGGGCAGCTGCAGGGCCTGGCTGCCCTGCCAGGGCTCCTCCACCTTTTCCAGCCTCATCGGAGCATTGGGCTCTGCTCAAGCAGAAGGTGGATGTTACTGCTTCAGAACTAGGCACGTGGGGAGTGCCTGCCCTCGCGGCAGGAGCTCCTCAGGCCCGAGCAAGGAATTTAGGTCTTGCCAGGACTTCCCTTGAGCTCAGCTGACCGCCTGGGCTGCCTGGCCACTCAGGTGTGGGGCCGGTGCCCCTGTACCCTTGGGTGCCGCCAGGCTGAACTGCCCTGCCCCAGCCCCCCGCACTGGCTTCCCGCCCATCTCTGCTCCTGTCACGAATGCCCTAATGGTGGCCGTGGGCGGCCTGGCCTGCTGAGGGTCACCCTGCTCACTAGGGAGCAGCGCAGACACAGGGCCTGACTTAGGAGAGCTCCAACCCTGCAGTCACCCACCCTGCTGCCAAGTGAGAAAGAAGCCAGCAACACTCACGTATCACTGAGGACTTGGGTGTCTGTGCTGTGACAGGTTTGTCCGGCGAAGGGCTGAACCTGGCGCTGATCCTCCCTCTGCCATCCACCAGCTCGGTGAACCTGGGACAGGGCAGTGGCAAGGACGTGAGCGGTGCCCGCCGGACACGAGGCCTGGGGACACTGCAGCCTGGCTGTGCCTACCTGGGCACCGGCGAGGGCTCCAGCGACGCGTCGTGATCCGCGAGCAGGCGCAGCTCGGGCAGGAAGGCGGGCGGCAGCCGGGCGCGCAGCACCCGCGCGTGGCCACCCTGGCTCCAGCGTCTCTCTGCGGGGCCATCCCGTGGCACTGCGGGCCAAGGAGGAGCTTAGGCGGAGCAGGCAGTAAGTGCAGCGTGTCCTGCCATTGCCTGGGTGACCCCCGACACACTTGGCCTCGCCAAGACACAATGCAGCTTCCACGAGGCCACAGCGGAGGCCACACCAAGCAAGCGGGAGCAGCAAGGCCTCGGGTCCCTGCTCTCCCTGGAGCTGTTTGGTCTTTCCCACCTCCTCCCTGCACGGAACACACAATGGCCCCACTCCCCCCAGCCCCACTCACGGGTGCTGACGTAGAGGTGGATGGGCTCGCTGTGCACCTGCCCTTGCTCCGTGTTCTGCACGGCTGTCACGGAGAGGCGGTAGCGCTGCGCGGGGAGCAGGTCGCGCACGGTGTAGGCTGCCAGCTTCCCATTGGGCACGTAGCGGCTCTTGACGCTCTGCGCGGCGGTGACGTTGATGATGTAGCCCTCGACGGTGCCGGCGGGCGGCGGCTCCCACACCACCGACACGGAGGTAGCGCCAACGCGGGACGTCGTGAGGTTGCGGGGTGGAAGCGGCCCTGGAGATGGGAAGGGCTCCTTGGAGAGCGTCTGCAGCAGCCGCGCAGGTCCCRTGGGGGCCTGCCTGGCTGGCCTAAAGGAGCTCCATGGGGCTGAGCACGTGCTGTCCTACGCGGGCCCTACGCGTGTTCCGCTGGGGCAGCCAGGAGCACAGAGGGCCCCAGCAGCCACCGGTGTCCCTGGGACCCCACGGGGCTGCAGGGCAGCACACGGAGGACGGGGTGCTCAAGACAGAGCTGGGGCTGCTCGGCGACGTGCCAGAGGACAAGCAGGTGTCCCTTTTGGCCCAAGTGGCCAAGCTCAGCCCGATGTCACCAGCACGGGCGGTTGCACGCCGTGGCTTGCAAGTCACATGGGTGCCAAGCTGGGGCAGCTGAGGGTGCCTGGGCAGCCCCCGTGGGGCCATGAGTCCCAGCTCTGGGCCTGGAGAACATGGTAGAAGCCCCCGGGATGCAGGGAACGCCAGCGCCCAACCCCAAGCCTCAGCACACGTGGAGCCCCGCTCACTTGTCCACACGTGGAAGGGCGCCGAGGCCAGGCTCTCCGAGGGGTGGTCTTCAGTGCCCAAGCCACTCAGCGTCGTGACATGGACAATGTACCTCTCTCCTGGCTGCAGGTCCCTGCAGAGGAGGAAGGCGCCGGGCAGCGGGTGAGTTTGCCGGCCTGCGAGCGCCCGGGCCCCCCGGCGCCTCACAGGCACTCACAGGAAGGTGTACTTGGCCACGCTGCTGTTCAGCTCCACCGTGCGGTCTTCCAGCTCGCCAGGCTGGCGGATGGAGACGCGCACCCTACTAACGGTGGAGTGCTTGAGCCGGTGGAGAGCCCACTGCACCGTGATGGCGCTGGCCGTCACGTTCGTGATTTCAAAGCCTTCCACCGGACGCGGCCCTGGCCGGAGCAAGCGGGGAGCAGAAGCCAAGAGCGGTGTGGTCAGCAGCTGCTCAGGCAGGGGCTGCCACGTCCCTTTCCGTGTCCCCACCGTGCCGGCCACTGGGGTCCTTGCCTGCCTTCCCAGCTCAGCTTCCCTARTGCGGAGCTGCTGGCGCCTGCCCGGAGGGGAGCAGCTCCGTGCTCGGCCACGCACAGCTCCTGTCCCTGCTGCTGCCTGCCTGAGGGCAAACGCAACTTGCAGCRCTCCCAGCCTGGCCCTGCTCCCTCTGCCAGGCTCCAGGGCTCCCCAGGCTCTGCACGGAGGCATTTCTGCCTGCCTGCCTGTCGCCACGCTCGGCAGCCCCAGGCAGGAGCTGGCTGCTCCCTGTGGCCTCCYGTGCTGGCCACACGCAGGGCAGGAGCGCGGTGCGTGGGCCTGGCCCGGCACACACCCCACCGCGGGCTGCGAGCGACGCCAGGGCCACGAGCCGAGGTATCAGCGGTGACCCAGCCCCTTCCCCTGCTCCTGGCTTTACCTGTTTGTGGCCCACAGGGTGGGCACACGGCCTGTACTTTTCACCCTGTCCTCATCCTCTTGCTAGAGGGCTTTTATTTTGGCCAGGTCTAACCCTTTTCCATCCTCAACCTGCTCTTGGCTCCTGCTGCAGCCGTTTGTGGGCAGACCTGGAGCTACATGTGATGCCATGGAGGTGCCACGAGGGGCACGGCAGCATCTGCCCTGCAAAGAGCCTCAGAACGGGTCGGGAGGACAGTGGGTCCTCGTGCTGCCCCGGGCAGCACCACCACCCGCTGCTGCTGCTGCTGCTGCCGTGGTCATGCCCCTATGTCACTGTGCCCCRAGGGCTCTGCCGCCTTCTCAGAAAGCGGTGCCAGGCCAAGAGATCCTGTTCCCTGCTGTCGGCAGAGCTTCTCCCGCGCAAAGCCAGGGAGCATCTCCCAGATGCCGTGAGCCCTGTTCGTATGCAGAAGGTCCCTGGCTGCGACGGGGGCCGGCGGGCTCGGAGGCGGCCAGGACAGGATGCCTGTCATCCCTACACGCCCGCAAGGGGCAGCTCCATCCTCACCACCGCATCCCCCCGAAGACGCTACTCACTAGTGCGCGTGGTGAGCATGACCGGCCTGCTGATATCATTCTTGTTGTTCACGTTGCGTTTGACTGAAAAGACAGAAATATTGTAGGCTCTGCCAGAGGCGAGTGCCCGCAATTGGTGGGCAGAACGACTTCGGTCCACAAAATCTGTCCTGCGGTAAGAGCCGTCGAAGGATACGTACGTCACGGCGTAGCCGTCAATCAGTTGCCTTGCGACTGCGTCCTCAGGCGGGTGCCAAGAAATCAACACACCAGTGTCCTCCACCCTTTCCACCTTTAATGAGGTTGGTGGCAGCAATTCTTCAGGGTGTGGGCAAAAGCAAAGGGGAGAGGTAACGCCATAAATCTTTAGAGAACAGACCCAACGAAATGCAGAGCAGCAGGGAACGAAGGCCAGGGCCCCTTTTCTCTCTCTGTTTTCCTCTCTCCTCTCTCGTTGCACCTTACGGAAGGCCCTGCGGGTGCCAGCTGCCACCGGGCTGTCGTGCTGGGTGCCAGGAGAACCCACTACCCAAGCGGGCTCAGGGGCAAACGCTGGCAAAGCCGAGCAGAGCAGGGTGAGCCAGAGCGTGGGCGACAGGGCAGTCGGTGCCCACTCCCCGCGGGGACACACGGGACAACGTTCCTCTGGGGTGACTCCCTGAGGGGACTGGTTGGACCAAACRGATCCAGTTATTCCCAGCTGGGGGGGGAGCTTTAAGCGGGCACCTTTGCCTGCCCTCCTGGGTTGTCACCGTCACCAGAGGGATTTGTGCCAGGTGTCCCCATGCCGAGAAGCCTCGTAGCTCCCCCAGCCCCCAGCACGATCGGGCCCTGCTGGCCCCTTCCCTCTGCACGATGGGGCCTGCACGAGCTCGGAGCTCTGCGCGGCGAGGAGAGCAGCCGGTCCCTGACGGCCGAGCTGGCGGCTGGCTTGGCCGCTGCTGGGCTGGGCGGGCAGCGCCGGCGTCGAGCCCCTCACACCGTGTCCTGGCGCCGCTGCTCAGGGCCTTTACCTTTTTCGCAGTTCTTGCCTGTGTAGCTCACTTTGCAGGTGCAGCTGTGGCTCCCGTTGCTTGCCAGGCAGTAGCCTCTGCTCCCGCAGGGGCTGGAGAAGCAGGGGTCGCTGGCTGCGGACGAGAGCAAGCGCCGGCGCTGTTACGGCGAGCGGCGGCACGAGCGGCTCCGCGGGCCCACCGCCCTCGCTGCTGCCTCACCAATCTCGCAGTGGTAGCCGAAGAAGCCCTCCGGGCACACACACAGGTAGGAGCCTCCAAAGCTTTTGCAGTCCCCTCCATTTTGGCAAGGGCTCGACTCGCAGGCATCCACCTCTAGAGAAGAGGGAGGCGCAGGGTGAGGTGCCTGCTCGAGGCCCAGGGCACAACTGGGTCCCCACAAGCTTAAACAGAGCCTGCAAGACGCCCTGCCCGCAGCCAGGCCTAAGGCAAACAGCAGCAGCTACCGCAGGCCCTGGGGGCAGCACCACGGTGGTCTCGCCCCCTTGGGGCTTGCGGGTGGGAGGAAAAGTAGATCCATCATGGATAGGCCGAGCCACCCGCATGGCCTGTTCCCTCCCTACCAGACAGCCCTCTGGGCCAGGCTGATCTGGGTCTGGCCCCGCTCTGGGTGCTTTAGATGCCATGGGGAAGTAGCCACAAGCAGCCATCGCTCCAGGAGACAGGAGGTGCCCCTGGCATCGTCCATGAGGGCAGAGACCCAACATCCATGGAGGGGGGGGAGGGTTCCCTACTGCACCCCCTCCCTGGGCTTTGCCCCCGTCCCGGGCTGCAGTGCTCCCAGCAAGGACTCCGCTCTGTGAGGTCCCTACCTGTTTCGCACTGGGTCCCCACAAAGCCCTCGGGACAGGTGCACACGAAGGACCCCACAAGGTCCTTGCAGGTCCCGCTGTTCTTGCAAGGCTCCGACTGGCACTCATTGATCTCTGTTGAGAGGTGACACTTGAGCCCGCCACCCAYGCCAGCCTTGCACAGGGCGGGAGGTAGGAATGGGCAGCAGGAACACAGGGACATCCGGGCGCTGACAGCCACCAGCAGGCACCTAGGGTACGTGCCCTGCTCGAATGCCCCTGCAGGCATCATTGTGGCATCGCCCAGGCCAGACCCTCCAGCATCCCTCTCCTCCCGCCTGCCACCGTGCTGTGTTCCCTTCCAGCTGGCACCTGCTGAAGGGCACACAGCCTCAGCCAYCACCGCAGCTGCAGCTCCCTGTGGGCCGCCTTCCCACAGGGAACGCTCTGGTTCCACGAGAGGTGGCCTCCCTGCAGACTGACGGGCTGCACGCATGGGGCTTGAGCCGGGGCACAGCAGGCTGGGTGCTCAATGTGCAACTCCCACCCTGCTACCATTCCCCACGGGGATGAGGGGATGAGGAAGGGTTTGCTGTGGCCACCCATGGGAGATGGGTGAGGAAGGGTTTGCTGCGGTCGCCCTCAGGAGCCAGGACTCCTCCTGCCCCGTGTCGTGGTGGCCCCATGTCATGTTCTTCACGTTCTCTTACCCAACTCACAGTGGTGGCCTGTGTATCCTGGCTCGCACACGCACAGGAACTCAGCGACACGGTCCTTGCACAGGCCGCCGTTGAGGCAGGGCTGTGACCTGCACTCATCAATCTCTGCAAGATTCAGGGCACAAAAGAGGCAGTCAGAGGCAGGAAACCCGCCGAGAGGCCATGTGGGGTGCCCCAAAAGCGGTGCCCACAGGCACAGAAGGGCATCCCCAGTGCTCGGCTGCCTCCCGCTGCTCCTCACCATCGCACTCCGGCGGGTCGCTCCAGACACCCAGCGAGCGGCAGACGCGCGGGTTGTTGTGCTGGCTGAGGGTGTAGCCCAGCTCACAGCGGTACTCGGCCAGCGAGCCCACCTTGGTGGAGTTGTAGGAGGCCTGTGCATGCTTCACCTCGTTGGGGACCCCGCAGTCGACCTCTGCGTTGGGGACACGGGGCTGTGAGCCAGCGGGGCGGCAGCAGCCAGAGCTCTTGGCTGGCGGCGGCAGGAACGGTGCCCTTCCTTACCGGACTGGCAGCGCTTCCCCACATAGCCCACAGGGCACGCACATGCGTAGTCCCCGCCAAGCTCCTTGCATGTGGCGCCGTTCTCACAGGGGCTCAGGAAGCACGGAGAAGGCACTGGAGGATCAGGGCATGTCGCTGACACACAGCGACGGGAAACGCCCCCCTTACTGGGTGCCACCCRCCCGCGTCCTCATGCCTACCCATCTCGCAGTGCCGGCCGGAATAGCCAGGGGGGCAGTCGCACTTGTACTTGCCGATGTAGTGGAAGCAGGTGCCCCCGTTCTGGCAGGGCCCTGAGGCGCACGGGTCCGGTTTACCTGCGGGGCAGGACAGTGTGAAGCAGCAGGCAGGGGTGCTGCTGTCTGCGGCAGCACGGAGGGCAGTGCAGGGCAGTACCTATCTCGCAGTGCCTGCCCGTGAAGCGGTAGGGGCAGGCGCAGTGGTACTCGCCATCAGCCTCCTTGCAGGTGCCCCCGTTGCGGCACGGCGCCACGCTGCAGAGCCGCGGCCGGGCTGCGGGGAGAGCGCGAGTTGCCTACGGGCGCCCCGCTGAAAGCCGCCTGGGCGCTTGCCCGGCGCCAACGGCACCGAGGGCGCCTTCGGTGCAAAAGCAGGGCCTGCCCTGCAGCTGCCGCCATGAGCAGGGGTCTCCGTGCCAGGTACCTTTCTCACAGTGCTTGCCCAGGAAGCCTCGAGGGCACTCGCAGGTGTAGGAGTCATCATGAACCTCACAGGACCCCCCATTCAGGCAGGGATCCGAGTCGCAGGGAGACGGTATCGCTGCAAAGATGGACACAGGGGGTCACACGAGATGCGCCAATCGCTCCCACGGGGCTTCCCATCCACGTGGGATARGCCTTGCGATTATCCCCGGGTTTCCCACCGCTGCCGCGTCCCCACCAAGCAGACTCACTGTGGTTGGTGCCATAGTCAGTGTGGCACACACACAGGTAGCTCCCGCCGTACTCCATGCAGTAGCCGCCGTCGGGACACTGCGTGTTCACGTTGCACGGCGTGGTGGTCACTTCTGCAAGGGCACATGGGGAGGTCCCGCAGCAGCAACAACACGGCGGCCAGCACGCCCGGGCAGAAAGTGCCGGCAACRGGAGTTCCTTAACCCGACAGAGGTGCCCCCACCTCGCAGCCCGTGAGTGCCGAGGGCTATTTTGGATGCTCAGGAAGCTCTGGGGATGCCGTGAGTGAAGGCTACACTTTATTTCTCTGGGGGGAGAAGCCAGGCTGTGTCCAGCATTTGGGAAGGCACCACTCAAAGTGGAACAACAGCAAGAGCTGTTGTTTTCTCACCACGAGGCTGTGTTTCTAATGTACCATTCCCCACCCTTATCCCACATGTGTGGAATTCGGATTCAGGGCTGCCCCGTGGCACTGAACCGACTTTGGGCACAGGCTGAAGCACCCCTTGTGCTTGCCTGGAAGCTGATGCCCATGAACGTCCACGAGAGGGAGCACGGAGAAAAGCAGAGCACCAGGTGAGAAGCCTTTGCTTACCAAACTCGCAAAGAAGACCAAAATAACCTGGCAGGCACTGGCAGATGGTGACATTCCCCTCCAGGCAGCTGCCTCCGTTGCGGCACTCACAGCCCTCAGACAGCTCTGCAAGAGATGAGGAGGGAGCTCTCCAGGATCCCGTCTGCTGGACCTGCAACCGTGGGGCTGGGCAGCCAAGTGACACCGTTGGATGTCACCTGGGAGTCGGGGTGACCTGCAGCCACATGTCCAGGCACTGCCTCAGCAGCCTCCGCTCAGAGATCTGCTCAGCCCAGTAGCCACATACAGCCTCTGCTGCGGCCGCCTCCCACTAAGCAACAGGCAACCCCACCTAGACGGGTTTCCCTAGGCATGTGGGAAGGCACTTGAAAGACCGCAGCTACTCACTGTCCCGACAGTCCTGCCCGGTGTAGCCCTCGCGACATTCGCAGACGTAGCCCTGCTCCGTCTCCAGGCAGCTGCCCTCATTCTGGCACGGGTTYGAGAGGCAGGCGCCAGGCACCCGGGGCCCACCTGCGGGCAGGGAAGAGGCTCAGCCCGAGAAGCCTCRGCCTGGGGCTACGACACCCTGGTATTGGGGCACATGGAGCAAGTGCCACGTGTGGGTCCGCAGCCATGAAGGGAGCGAGTTCTGCGAAGGGGCCCACGCGTCGCTCCCTCACTCACCGTATTGGCAGTTGTTGCCGTAATAGCCCGGGGAGCACGTGCAGATGTAGCGCCCGGGACGGATGTAGTTGCATGTCTGCCGGTTCCTGCAGCTCCGGTCCTCACAGGAGGAAGGATCTGGAAGGGAGGAGCGGTGACTGGAGTGGCTGCAAGGCCCAGAGGGCCGCTGAGACCCCAGGGCCGAGGCCTCAGCCACCTGAGCCCCAGGGCCGGGCGCAGGAGAGAGCAGGCACCTATTTCGCAGCGCTGTCCCACGAAGGGCTCCAGGCAGACACACGTGTAGTTATCGACCAGGTCGACGCAGTGCCCTCCGTTCAGGCACGGGCCGGACTCGCACTCGTTCAGCTCTGCGAAGCCAAGTGGGAAGGGCCCATGAGACACGCTCGAATGTGGGCCAGCTGCCGACTCTCACTTGCTGCTCCCGTCTTGGCTCTCAGCACTGGAGTAGAGAGCTTTCCTGGGGCCCTGCCCTCAAGTTCAGGCCAGAAGATCCCCCCCCTCCCTGTGCTGCAGGGTCCAGGGGTGTGTTGGAGCTGCCTGCTGTTCCTCACGCACCCGCGGCAGCGCTCAGGGCCACCAGCTGCCTGCAGATGGATGGGGCTTGAGGCTGTGTTGCTGCTGGCTTGSTGAGCACGATGGACGGGGTGTTAACGTGCACTTCCCTGAAGCCTCGCTGGAATTTAAACCATCTGCCAGGCATTGGGTTTCCAGCCCATTTCAGTGCAGCCTCCAAGGCAGCAGCCCTCAGCACTCGTGAGGAGGCKAATGCAGATGTTCCCATCGGAAGAGCAGCACAGACCCCAACCCAAAACCGCAGAGGAGGCAGAGGAACGAGGCCGGACGGTGATGCTGGGGAGCGAAGGCAGCATGAAGCAACCCGGGCTTGGTCCTACCTGTCTCGCAGTCTTGCCCCGTGTATCCTGGCTGACACGAGCACAGCGCGGTCCCGTTGACCACCTGGCATTTCCCCCCATTTTGACACACTTTGATTTCACACGGCGACTCTTCTGCAAGACACCAAAGAACAGAGGAGAGGAATAAATGCAGGCACGGGAGCGGCACAGACATCTCCCATTCCCACGGAGCCAGTGTTCTCGCCAGCAAACCCAGCGCCTGCCTGGCATGTTCTCCCTGCCACCCTTGCTTGGAGGAGCATGTGGGACAGGACAGGTACAGCTACCCGCACCACAAACTGGGCAAGAAACCCAGACAGTGCCACGTTTCTTTTTGGATGCTGGATGTTTCTCTCTCTCCTTTCCCTCCCCAACAAGTAAACTCGCTGCTCTCCAGTCCTGGAGCTCGTGGGCCGCTCCGCCGGGCTCGCAGCACCTATGCTTCCCTCTGCTCTCAAGGAAAAGCAGCGCTGCTGAGCGCTTTGGGAAGGGGCCCTCACTGCCATTCCCGCAGCGCTGCAGAGGGGACTATGTCTTCCTGGTGTCTGCATTAGTATCAGAGCTCCCAGGCAAGCTCCCAGCCGCTTCTAGGGGCTTAGGAGCAAAATGTTGCCTGTGAAAGCGTCGCATGGAGCCCCTGAGCTGCGTCGTTTCCACAAGGCTGAAGTGGCAGTGGTGCCGGGATGAGCTCCCCAAGGCGGGGGCTGCCAGCGTCAGGAAGCACTTGCAGCCACAGCAAAGTTTCCTTCACCCGCAGCAAGCTGAAACCCAAGATCACAGCAGTGATCAGTGATGCTCCTGCCAGCTGCGTGAGCCCTGGGAGCACAGAGTCCCACAGCCTGGGATTTCCACAGCCAACAGACCCTTATCTGTGGGTACCCATGGTGCTAACGGTAGCTGGAGCTGAGCCTGGCACCGGAGCCTGGAGCTCTTCCCTTGTGTCACAGCACAGCTGAGATTGGAAGGCAYTTCAGGAGATCATTTAAGTGCAGCCCCCTTCGCTCCAACAGGATCACCTAGAGCATGTGACAGAGCACCCAAGCATGACGAGGCAGCACCAAGCTACACACAGCTCCTTCCCATGCAGCTGGGCACATCTTCCCAGGCTCCAGGAGCCTTCAGGACCAGAGCCAGGATGACCAGCACACCCACCCTCCCTGCCCACTGCGACAACGGGTGCTGAGCTCTTCAAGTGCAGGGAAGAGCCACCCTGACCCTCTCCACTCCCCTGCCCTTCCCTCACCAATCTCGCAGCTGGCGCCTTTGAAGCCTGGAGTGCAGGAACAGCTGAAGCTGTTGACGTTGTTGATGCAGGTGGCTCCATTTTGACATGGGTGGGAGAGACATTCGTCCACATCTGAAAAAAAAAAAGATCAGAGAGGGGAGAACAGGAGCTCARGGAGAGCTTCCTCCTGGCAGAGGAAGAAAGAACCATAGGAAAACACAGCTCAGCAGCAAAGCGTCCCCGCTGCAGGAGGTGATGCTGGCTGGAAGGCACAGAAGGGCGCGCAGACAGCCAGGGGAGATGAAGGCCAGCGAGAAGGGCGCCGCGGTGGAGGAGGCACTCACCTATGTGACACCTCTTTCCCGTAAAGCCTGCCAGGCATGAGCAGGTGTAGGAGGGGTTCCCTGTGATGCAGTCCTCAATACACTTCCCCCCGTTGAGGCAGGGCCGCAGCGTGAGGCACACAGAGGCTGGGGAGACACATGGCGCCCTCGGTTAGTGCCGGGACCGAGTGAGGCCTCGCGCGCCGCATTCTCCGTGCCCGACATCAGCTCTCGTGATCCTGGCTCTCTAGGGTGCACTGGGAGCCCTTGGGGCAACAGCGCTCGCTCTCGCGAGGGAGCCAAGGGCTTGGATCCCCGTGGCCCCCAGGGAATTTCGGGGGAGCTCCGTGGGGAGCCACTCGCGGGCACTGGGGGGGATGCTACGGCCGGCCCTGGTGCAGCGGCCGCACTGAGGCCGACGGGGACACCTGTACAAAACAATCCCGCAGGTAACACAAAACACACGGAGATTAGCAGGTAAGGAAACACAGCCAGGGGGGGACGGGGACAAGGGGCAGGAGGTCAGCGGCTCCATGGGGGGGGCGTGTGGGGAGAGCCCAGAGGGGGACGGGCAGCCGCCAAGCGCGGCCCCAGCCCTGCCAGGACGCCCGGCCACCTTCCTTGGGCCCTGCGCCCCCATCGCAGGGTGCAGCCCTGCTGGAGCCCCACGGGCCACCCGCTGTGTTGGCCCCGCTAAGGCTGGAGAGCAAGGGCTTGGCCTTGGCCGGGGGACCCGAGAAGTGCCACCCGCGGGCCCTAACCTCATCCCCGGTGTCCCTGCTCATGCCCTGCCGCCCCTCCTGTGATGTCAACCGCTGCCTTTGCCCCTGCTCCTCTTAAGAGCCCRGGCAGAGCGCTGGCTGTTCAGTCACCTCAAGCCCACCATGAAGAAGGGCCTGGCCCAGCCTGCTGGTCAAAGGGRGATGTTCTCCCCACTCCTGGGGCTTGACCGGGGTTGCCTGCAGCCCTGCCGCTTCCTCAGGGCTCCTCCAGGCACCGCTCTGTCACCCTGTCCCTCTCCAAGGCTCCTTGTCACCAACCCCCAGTGCCCGCAGAGAGCCACGCTCGGCCGCGGCCTCYCAACGTGCAGCACGGATGGCCGGGCCCCACACAAGCCTGGCAGTCCCAGGGCACAAAGTGATTGGGCACACGGCTCCTGCGGGTCATGCCCAATGGGCCACCGATGCCCCATGGATTTCCTGCAGCCGCGCACGGGGCTGGCAGCTCCAAGGATGGTCTCCCCATCACTGCCTCCCGTCCCACCCCAAGCCCTTTGAGCCATCTCCTCCGTCCCATGGGTGGCTGCTCTCTTCCCTTGAGGAGGGAGATGGGGGTGAGGGGCGAGGCAAGGAAAGACAGGGCTGGAGAACAGTTTGGGGGTGGGTTGGGTGTTAGATAAACCTAACTGCTGTCCTCTTACTTGTATTGCTGCAGCCCCCCACTTGCACCTGGGCATCATCGATTCTGAACACCCAGCGCCCGGGGATACCCACATTTGTCGTCATCTCCACGTCAGCGATGTCGTCAGTGCGGGATCCGGGGATGTTGAAGTAGCGCTTTCCATCACCGGCGTTAAAACCTGCCTGGGAGGACAAGGGCAGAGAGGACAAAAAAAAAGACATCAGGGTGCAGAAAGGGAGCGCGGGCGCCTGGAGCTCCAGCTCCTCTGCGGGCAGCGTCACAGCCCTGCGCACTCCTTTAGCCCTGGGGCCACGGGACTGCCAAGGTGCTGCCTGTTTGGATGGGGGATCCACAGGGACCATGTGAGACTGTTTCCACCCAGATGTGGACCTTCTTCAGTCCCATCTGCCACAGCAAGACTGCTCAAGATGCGACGGGGACACTAGGTGACACTACCAGCACAGCCTGGGTTTCTCCTTGGTGCGAGGGATACCAAAATCCCCAGGATGTGTGAAGGAGTATCTAACTCCCTCCCTAAGGCTGGCGCTGACACGGAGCTCAGCAGCACCTTGCTGGGAAGAGCGCAGCACAAACCCAGCCCAAGACCATGCCCGAGGGGACACCGCACCCTTTGTGTTCACCAGCCCCAGCGGGATTTTAGCTTGGTTTTCCTCGAGACTTCCTCTTCTCCAGGGCTGGCGTGAGGGTGGAGAGCGCCTGGAGCGCTCCCAAGGCGGGCGGTCACCGCTCCATTTACCCCCATAAAATCCACACCAGCCAGTTCTGGGATTCAAAACATGTCTGTTTCCTTTGCACCTGCAATTTCCTGCTTGCTCCCTTCCTCCCGCAGGCAGGGAGCCAAGGACACATCAACTGGTGGTAAATTCAAAACTCACACATCGGAAAGGGTACCGGCTTCTTTATATATATAAAATGTATATATATATATATATTTTTTTTTCTTAAACACAACAACACATACAACGATGAAATAAAAATACAAGTGAAAGCTGTGCTGGCTGCAGCAGCTTGCTGAGATGCTCTTAAAGTCTGAGGTTAGGAAGGAAAAGGAACTMAGAGGCAGCAGCCAAGGAAAAGAACTGTGGTTTCATTACAACAGTCCCCTATATGCTCTCAGCTTTGGGACTGAGAAAACACACAGGTATTTAACAGCTTTAAAAACGGCGAGGGGAGGGAGAAACAGAGTCGCCACCAAAAATCCCTTGGCTGCTTCGTGCTGCCAGTAATATTTTTTAAAAAAATTTAATTTATTGGGAACAAACAGCAGGAATGGCTGTGTAGGAGCTGCAGGACTGGGAGCGCGGGGAGTGTTCACCGCTTACCTGCGCTGCGATGCCGCCAAGCCCAGCAAAGTCCCCCCCACTGCTGGCGTGCATACCCGTGGTCCACGTGATGGACTCATAGTTGAAGATGGTGAAGGAGAGCTTGCCGTCCGTGATAAGCACTATCTGGAAAGTGTTCACCTGCAGGAAGGAGAGGAGTAGGCAGTGAGGGGGCAGACAGAGAGGCAGGAACACGGTGGAGGAATGGTCCAGAAAAGGAGATGAAAAGAAGATTGTTGAGCAGGGAAAGTTTGGTCGGGAAGATGGGGTCTCTTTTGGCACTGATTCTCCTTTACGAGAAAAGGTTTGGGTTAATTTCTTCTCTCTCAGGCTTTGGGGAAAGAGGAGAGAAAGAGATTTCTGCAGAAAGTTCCACTGGGAAGCGCCCCGAGCAGGTTCAGACCAGCGCAACACAGGTGTCCGCGGGCACAGCCGAGGAACAGTGTCCGCGTTCGGGACCAGGAAATCCCGCTTTCCTTAGGAAGGACATTCCTGTTCCTGGGGGCACTCCTGAAGGAGCGGCTCGAGTGCCAGCAATCACAGCTGGAGGTGTGTGAGCCAGCACGGGGCTGCCTCGGGTGGAAAGGACCTGCAGGAAGTGCCGCGTGGCCATGCAGCCGTTCTCGGCTTTCAAGAACAGGGGGGCAGAAGACGTTGGCCAAGTCTCTGCAGGGACTATGGGGATGGAAGAAAGCACCCAGGCCCATGGGCAGCTGCATCCCGGAGATGCGGCTTTCGGTGAAGGGCAGCAGAAGGACTCAGGAAGGAATTTTCAGGCCAGCTTTTAAGCTGTCCAACGTTGCTCCACACACATGACCTCAACACGGCCCAATGTGGGCAAACGCAACCCAGCTGCCCGAGAAGGGGGGCACCAGCGATTCGCAGCCTCAAAAGGGCATGGGGAAGGCGGCTGCTTCTGCAAAGCTGGTGCTACGGCTGCGACAGCAAGGAAGAAAGCAGGGGACAGGGCTCAAAGTGATGAACATTGCACCGCCAGGATGGCCAAGAGCAGAAATGGGGTTCACTGCCCCCCGGTCACTGGAAAACACAGGTAGTTCTACAGTTTGGTTCCTCTCACCCYGATATCTAAGATATGAGGTGACAAGGGTGGCGTTTCCTCCGGCTCAGACAGGACCTAACTGAGCTGTMGGTGTCCACACAGTAAATGGTTGTTGTAAAATGGTGTCCAGGRTGGGAAGAGCCAGAGGCTGTGGAGGATGTTTTACAGGTCCTCTGGATGCAGCCTGGGTCTGGCCACATGCAAACTCACCCTGAGACCTGACACCTGGCCCGTGCTTTGGGTGAGAGACCACGAGTCAGGCTAACAGACTGAGCAGTTTGGTAGCCCCCGCCCTGCAAGGGGTTGAGTCCTCAAGTTGCTTAACCCGAGCGGAGCCTTTGAGTTTGGTTAGTCCTGCTCACAACTCCCAAGTTACGGGGCAGGCACAATCTGATGCTACAGGATCAAAGCTGTTGTAGAAGATGCCAAAGCTCTGGTTCCTCCAAAAACTCCTTTTGAAAATAATCCATCCCTTAACTAACAGCAGCCCCTAAGAAGGGGGTATCCCCGAGCTGCTCACCCAGCGACAGAGCATCGGCCTGTGGCGCTTTGGCACCGTCCAGGATTTTGAGCTTCCCACGACCCGCCGGTGCCCACGCTGCTGCCCCAACCACTCACTGGAGAGAAGGAACTTCCCCCGAAGAAGGTCACTCGGTACCAGGTAGCAATGAAAACCCACTGCGCAGAGAAGTGGGGGAACTCAGGGAAATACTGCACAATGTCGCGCGTCGCTCGCTCCAGGATGGCCYGGTCCTTGCTCTCCCGGTAATACACGTCGCCTGCCCGCCGGTTATCCACATCCGCCCAGAAGGCCGCTACCACGCGCCGGTCCTTGGAAATCGGGAACGCCACCGGCGTGAACTGGGAAACCTCCTTCAGGAAAGAGATGATGCCGTTGTTGTTGACCTGCAAGGGGGGAACAGAGAAAGAAGGGACAAGCGTGACAGTGGCCAGGAACGAGGCAGGATGGGCAGCACGGCAGCCTTGCTCGGAGCTCTGCTCTCCGAGGAGTGGAGCGGGCTCCTGAATCCCACAGGAGCCCTAAGCCACGACGGGCAGCCGGAGGTGCTGCAGGTGCCCGCACCCCCGGAGTGGACAATGAGGATGCCGCAACCTGGCCGGAGCAGCGCAAGCACTCCTTGGTCAGCGGGACCATTGGCAGGGCTGCACGTGAGAGGCCGCTTTTTACTTTTTTTACTTTGTTTTTATTTAATTTCTTTCCCCTCCTTGCACAAATATTTGAGCGCTTCCCCTTCCTGCCCTTTGAAGCGCGGCCGTGCCGCTCGCTGCGGCGCCGCGGCCCCGCTTGCCAGGCGCTGGCGAGCGCGGGGCGCCCAACAAGCCGGGCCCTGTTCTCCTGCCGCAGCCGGCCAGGGGCAGCGGCGGCAGCTGCAAAAACGGCCGCGGGGGCTCCAGCTCCCTTTCACATCCCTGCAAGTCTTCCCAAGGCGGCTCGACTCGGTGAGGGGACAACGGGACCCCCCCAAGGACGCAGCTCCTCTTGCCAAGGGGTRCACGGCACCCCGAGCTCTCAGGGACGAGCTCAGAGCTCCCTGAGCAGCCTAAGCCCTGAGCAGCAGCGAGAGACGTGCAAGCGCCTGGGCAACTCTTCTTCAGGGTCAAAGAACCTGCTGCAAATGCAGATGGTGCCACCAGCCCGTCAAGAGCCTCCTAGACACGGGTTGGAGCTCTGCGTGTCACCTTGTGCAGAGCAGCCTTGTGAGGAAGGCGCTGCTCAATCCTCGGGATCCTCAATCCTTTGCTCCCAGACGGGTGGCGCAAAGCGGGCGATCCAGCACCAGCCGGGCTAAAAGCGGCCACCGARTCCCACGAACCAAGCGCCGCTCCCGCTTAGCTAATTCCTTCCCTGCCATGTGCTTCACAAAGATCATCTCACGTCTCAGGAATGAGGAGAAACCACCAACGCTCTGAACTGCGGCCCAAATCGAAACCCACAGCAAAAGTATTCCAGGGGAAATAGGCCTGAACGCTGTTTGCAGATGCAACTCGAGCTGAAAGGCAGGTGTTACATTTTTGGGGTTTCGCTTTGCCTTTCTGAGCAAACTTTGGATTCAAGCAATTTTCTGTGTGCGCAGGGCTGGTCGCGGCCCAGGAATTTGGGCCCAGCCCATGAATCCCAGGAAGGCGGCACTGGCAGGGGACAGCTCCTGCATTCCCCAGCACAGRGGCATTGACGAAGAGGAGTCTCTTCGGCCCCAAGGCAGGACCTCGGCCACGAGCGCCTCTCTGGGCGAGAGGGCAGGGAGCTCTCGCGTCCGGCGTCTCACAGCACCCGGCAAAAACAGCCGCCACGCTCCGGATTTACAGCCGCGGGCGCCGCAGCTGGGGAGGGAGCAGCCAATCCGGGCCCTCGGGCCAAGAGGAGATCTCCGAGGCTTCACTAAACTCACTAAATAAATAGAAGGACCCTCGAGCGGAGTCCCGCGTGCTCTGCCATGAAAACATCCAGACGYGGGACATCCTCCACAGGCAACACCCTGTGGGAGGAGGAGAGCGGATGGAGAGGATCCCGAAGGGAGCTGAGATCACCACGRGCTTTTAACACGTTTGCCTGGAGACAAGACGCAGCTGGAGGAGGCGGCCTCTGCTTTCAGCGCACGTGGCTGCCTTAAGGCTTGGGAAGGGAGGAAAAAATAAGGCTTTTCAGGGCAATCTAACCATGCTTTGAGAAGCTGCAGCTTTGTTGGCATGCCTCGCTGCGCTCGCTGGCTTTGGGTGAAGGGCTCCTGGGGCAGGAGGCCGCTCTGTAGGGACGTGACAAGGCCACGTGGCCTTGGGACACCCGGCTAGGACACAGGTGCCCGACAGGGCACCCAYGAGGCCCGTGCAGGTCTGGAGCAAAACCTGCCTTGGAGAAGACGCGCACGCCGAGGGGCTTAACACAGTTAACGTGTTGACGCACCGGGAATAACGGTCCTGCGAGAAGGGACCTTCCCGCCGCGGCGCYGCCGCTGCCGTGACTGAGGGCGAGGAGACTCCTGCCTCGCAAACCCTCCGTAACCTCTTCGTGGCCGCAGAGGAACATTCTTCCCCTTATTAAAGCAAGATGAGGATGAGCGGGAGCCAAGGCTTCTTTTCTTTAAAGAAAAAGGAGGAAGGGAAGGAGCTTGAAGGCGAGCCTCAAGGGCTGGGGTTTCCAGGTGAGTCACCCAGTGAGGAGCTCCAGGACTTAGGTGCAACCTTGGTTCTGCTCTGGATCTCACAGGAGCCACTTGGCACACGACCCGGCTTCTCCCAGCCTCTCTTTCCTTCATGACCTCTTCTCTCCCTCAGCTCGGTCCTCCTCTTGCTCCGGGTCCACAYAGTGCCTTGCAGCACAGCCACGCAGTCTTCCTCCACGTCAAAATCCCAGCAAACAAGGCTCAAACTGAAGATGTCCAAGGTGGAAAACGGCACGGCAGCGCGCCTTGGCTTGTCCACGGAGTGAGGCTGTCCACGAGGCTCCGCTCAAACCGCTGGGACAAGGCTCAGCCCTGTGCTCCCAGCCACACGGACCKTGTGCTCCAGGTGCTCTCGCTGCTACTGCCGCACGACAGAGGTCCTCAAGGAGAAAGGGCATTTCCTCATCTCCCTCTTGGGGCAGAGGAAGCCGTGGGTGCCCGCAGCAAACGCAGGAAGCCCCAAGAGAGGTTACAGRGCCTCCACAGGTGCAGAGGACTCAGCAGAGTGGGTTCAGCCTGGCTTCCTAGCTAGGCCAGGTGGTCCTACTGCCCATGGGACAGCTTGAGCCTTAGTGAGTTCCGCTGCTCCAAATGGGACCTTTGTCTCCTCTGGGCCCACAGGACACAAGCCCAGGGGTATAAACACACTGGGTGGGAGCCCGTGTTGGGCACCCAAGGACCCAGGCCCACGGAGCGTGACCTCTGCGTAGAGCATTTCATCCCAAGAAGGTGGGTAACACACAAGAGAAAATGAAGAGCACTCATGATGTTGGCTTTCCCACCACGTTTTCAAGATGCCGACACTTCATCCCATCCCAAAGGAGGAGCCGGAGCAAAACTCGTAAGCTCCCAGAGCAGATGTTGTCCCCTGCTTCCTTGTCACCCTCCAGCCACAAATTCACTGCCGGGAGACCCAGCTCCTGACGGCGCCCGGCAGACTCAGCTGATGGTTGGTGTTTGACCCACGAAGRCAGTCCCCAGTCACCCAGGGCTAGGGGCAGCCCAGCCCCACGAATATAGCTGCACGAAGCCTGGGACGAAGGGAAGGGAGCGGGAGGGGGCTTCCTGGTGGCTCCTGTCCCACGGCTGTGTCCCCTCTGGGCCTCCCTCCTCGCGCTCGCGGCGAGCGCAGCGCCCAGCTCCATCCCCGGCAGCGCATCCCAGCTGGGTCGCATRGAAAAGCCACCGGAGAGAGGGCAGGGAGGGAGGCCAACAGGACGCAACAAGCTCCCCGTTCCCTCCCCGGGCGCACCCGGCCTGTTGTGCAACGCCGCACGTGGGCGGAAACCCTGTCCCGCGCCGGGGGCTCCGGGCCCCGTGGCGCCGGCGCCCCTAATCCCGCCGGGAGCGCGCCGATCCCCGCGGCGGCACCACGCAACGCCGGAGCGCCGAGGAAGAGCCGCCTCCTTCCCCAGCTGCCTTGCCGGCTCCTGCTGACTCCCGGCATACCGCTGCCGAGGCCCTAATCCCRCGGCTTAATCCAATTATCCCGCCAGCAGAGCAATACCAACACGGATGCCGAGTCTGTCTGCCCGTGCCCTGGGGCTGCAGTCAGTGCAGGGCAGGAATTTGCAGCCCTCAGTGGGAGCGTCGCGCGGTCCTGCGCCGCGGCCGGGCCTCCAAGTCAACAGAGGCTCAAACGGCCCCAGGCCCCGCGGCGCTTCCCAAGGCTCCTGAGCTCCTGGATTTACCAGTCTCCCTCACGCCAAGGCCAGCAGGGAGAACTCCGGCCATAAGCAGTGGGGCAGAGGCACCGAGCTGGCCAGGAGTCACGAGCGCCGGGGCCAAATCCCGCGGGAATCCGCTCCCCCGTCCCAGCAGCCCGGGAAGCTGCAACCCTCTGGCGACAGCTCAAATCTGCCTCACTCGGGTGTTTTTTTCCCCCCTTGATTTTGCAAGCTCAAGTGCTGCAGCGAACTGACAAACACGCCGGGCTGCGCATCCCGGAGCCGCTCGGCTCAACATGAGCTACGTGCCGGCACGGAGACACGAGCAGCGACCATGGACACGGTTTCTTTTGGAAAGTTTTCTCCCCCGTCACAGGCACTGTCTTTCAACCTCTCACCCTGTTTGGCTCRGGTTTGCTGCCTGCGCGCACGGAGGAATGGAAGAGCTTGGAAAATACAGCCCACGGGCAAAAAGTCGGCTTGGGGCTGACCCCAGCCTTCCAGGGAATCGGGAAAGGGCCTCCGAAAACACATGTAGTGCCAGCCTTGGGGGTAAAACCCACCGGCTCCTCCTCCTGTTGCTGGTGACCTGGGAAGAAGGGATGTCTGGAGGGCATCCCAAAGAACATGACATGTCTATGTCCATCTGTACCCCCCAGGGCTGGACCACAGCCAAGCGCGCCTGCCAAGAGGGAAAAAAAGGCCACTTTTCCTGTTGGATTTGGAGCTGTCAGTGGCTCCAAGGGATCCCGCTCACCCAAACATCCCAGCCTGTAGCACCCCGCAGGGCTGGTCAAACAGCGGTGATTTGGGCGCCAGACGCAGCTCCCGGGAGCACCGAGGACTCGGTGCCGGCAGCCGCGGTGCGTGTGGGGCTGCTCCGGCCGGGAGCTGCCCATCGACGCTCCCAAAGAACCGCGGGCGCCCGCGGGCCTCCGCGCCGAGGCCTCCCCGTCGCGAGCCCCAGGGGTTAGGAGGCCAAGGAGGAAACGGTCCAGCTGATCCCGAGCGCGCGGCGCCGGCCGGCCGGCAGCACCCGGGCTCCGAGGCTGCTGCCTCTGGCTCTACCTCTCCCAAAGGGAAGGGCTCGTCTGCGCCTGGCTCCCTGCTCCGCGCGAAAGCTGGGAGCAGAGCGACACGAGGGACCTGCCTGGAGCTTCCGGACCCTGTTTCTCCAGGAGCGGAGAAACTGCTTTTCCCTTCCCCTCCTGCTCGCCCTGGGCGGAAAAGGGAGAAGCGTCTACACTGCACAGGATGGGCAAGGAGGGACCGGAGCGGCAGGCATCCGAGTCCCCATCCCGGCTCCCGTCATCCCGCGCCTCCTGCTCCGGGCTGGCACACGCGGACGATCCGCGCGCTCCTCCGCTCGTGCCAGGCTCTCCGCTGCACGGAGCCTCCGTTGGCCGGGCGGGCGCCGCGGACGAAACCGCCGGTCCCGGGGCACGTCCATGGCACGTCCCCGTGCCCTCCGCCGCGAGGGCTCCGCGGGGGGCTCCACGGCGGAGCGGGGCACGCGTGGCTTGCGGGACACGGCGGAGCCTCGCGGCCGGCGCCCGCTACTCACGTAGAGCCCGCTGTGCGCGGCGCCGAAGAAGGGGAAGCGCACGGAGATGGGCTGCAGCTCGGAGCCGCCGTCGTCCTGCTTGCGCGTGGCGGCGTCGCCCTGCTCCGGCCCGAACGGGTAGAACTCGGCGAGCGGCACCAGGGCGCCCACGCGCAGCGCCAGCGCCGCCAGCGCCGCGGCCCAGCAGCCCGCCCGGCCCCGCATGGCCGCCCGCCCTGCTGCCCGCCCGGCCGCGCTCACGACATGGCGGCCGCCCGCGCGAGGGGCCGAGGGGCGGGAAGCGCCGCAGCCCGAGCCGGAGCCGCAGCCCGAGCTCCAGGCGCCGCCGGGACCGCGGGTTCGAGCCCGCGCCGGGAAGGGGCTCATTGGCCTCGCCCCGCCCTCCGCGCGCCCGCTGGATTTGCATAATGCCGCTGAGCTGGCCAATCGCCGCGCCGCGCTCCGGCGGAGGGGAGGGGTATGCAAATGAGGAGGGCGCGGCCTGGCGCCGCCGGGCGGGCAGGGAGCGAGGGCGCCCCCGCGCGGGCGGGCGGGAAGGGCTCGTCGCGTCATGGCGGCGTGAGGCGGCGGCGGGGCGACGCGGCCGGGATGAGGGGGCAGCGCCGGCCCCGAGGCGGCAGCGCGGGCCGGGGCGGCCGGGGACACCCCCAGTGCGGAGGGAAAGGCAATGCAAGTCGAAAGGGACCAAGTTAGGAGCCGTTGGTCCCGGCTAGGGGCTGTCCCGTATGGCCTCAGCCGCCCCCCTTCACCTCTCTGAGTGTGCGGAAAAGGCTCGTCAGGGTTTCGCCTTCCTGGCGTGGAAAAACACGCAGCCACCCAAGAAACTCTGACACGGCGCCGGGCCGAGGCAGGGGAGCGGGCCAGGGAGAGCCTCGGCTCCATGGGGTCATCCCTGGCCCCTCTTATAAAACAGGCAAAAAAGGAGGCAGTGTATGGGGGGGAACAGGATGGGGCACCGGGACAGACGGGTGTTGTTTTCCTTTTTTTTTTTTTTTTTTTTTTTCAGGTGCTAAAAATATTATCAGGAAATTCTTTTCAGGAATGCGCTGTTTTAAGTCAGGCAGCGGGCTCAAGGGCCTCTTTGTCTGTGCCGGGGGAAAGGAGGGGGAAAAAAGCAAAAAGGCAAAAAGCAAAACTAAAAGCCACATTGATCAGGGGTGAGCTGTTTCATCAAGAAAGCCAGAGGTCCCCCCAGCAAAGTGGGATGGGAGAGCATGGGCTGGGCCCGAAAGAGGGAGAAATACTGCTGTAAAGCCAGGGTTTGGGGAAGGAATCCCCCCAGGTTGTCCTTTCTGTGGATTAGTCCCTGTGCTGGGCTCCAGAGTGTCCCTGACCAAGGGGTCCTGGCTGGACCCTTCATCCCTTCCCACACCCCGTTTCCAAGCCCTAAGGCAGCTCTGTGGAAAATCTCTCATGCTTCATGGAATAACCAGGAAAAGCAGGAGGATACGGGGATACAGGGGGTCGATGCCGACGATTCCTCCTGGAAGGCAGGAAAGTGAAGAGGAAAAGCTACAGGGAGAGCCCGGTCCTAAACCTGGGGCAGGTCTCCTTGCCGTGTCCTGCTTGGTCCATGTAGCCGGGGAGGGAGGTCRGTGGCTTCCAAAGCTTGGAAGGCACTGAAAAGCGAACCCCGCTTCCAAAGAGTTTATGTTTTATTCCATACGCCTGCAATATAAATAGGCTCCGCCGTAATTATTGCAAGGTACATTTTAATACTGAAAGCGGGCCAAGGAACATATTATGTAAGGATTGAAGCGGGGGAGAAAACAACAGCAGGACTCAGTTAGGATCAACAGCCCTGGGATTATGTGGATACCACCGTGGAAAGTTCGCCTCACAGGGCCCGGTAGCGCCGGGTGCTCTGCGGGCTCCCAGGCCCATGCACAGGGCCCCCAAACGGCGGGCGCACGCGCCGCCCTCCTTTAGGGTTAAGCAAAGCAGGCGCGGGGCAAAAACAGAATGAAAAGGGAGGAAAAAGCTTCCCTCAGGTGTTAATGGGGAAAAAATGTGGATTAGTGCTGGCAGGTGGAGGGTGCAGTGGTCCCTGGGCGGCCCTTGTGGCTGCTGGGGGGCTTCCGCTTCGATTTCTATGGGGATTTTCTAGGCGGTGAGTGGGTAGGATGCCCGTTTTTGCACTTCTGGGCCAGCGCAATGCGAGCTGCCTTGGCTCGGATGGGTCCCTGCCGCCTGCTACGGTGGGAAAAAGCCAGCGGGAAAGGACAACAAAGGGGAAGGCAGAGAAGTCCATCCAGGGCTCGGCCTCACCAGGCAGCCCGCAGCGACTTCCAGGTCACTTCCCTGAGGGGTTGCTCTCCGTCCCCTCTGCTTGTCCTGGTCCAGCCGCTCGGAGCCCGTCCTGGCTGGAGCTGCTCTTAGAGGGTGCTGCGAGGGTCCTACCCGCTGCTCCCGGGCCTGGATGCGCTGCCCTGGGGCTCCCTGCAGCTCTTGCTCGGGCTGCGGCGGCTGCTGCGGGCATCTCTGCTCCCCCTCCACCAYGGGGACCTGGGGGAAGGAGAGGGGTCGGCCCCGCAGCGGAGACGGGTCCACAGCGGATGCTGTTGGGCTAGGAGAGGCACTRGGCAGGGTCTAGCACCACACTGAGGGGTGACAAGGACAAGTGAGGGGTTGACCTGCTCCCCAGCTCAGTGGGGAGCTCCACAGGGCGCCGGGAGCCCTAGAGCTCGAATTGACTAGTCCAACTCATGGAGACACCGTGACAAGGGACTTGGGGGACAGGGCACCCCAAGAGCAGCAGTGACACAGGGCCAACCGCCCGATGAGCTTCCCCGGAGACCGGCTCCGAGCAGGAACCGACTGGACRGGGCCTGCACCAGGCTGGACCTGGCTGCTTTGTGCCTCAGGCAGCCCATGGTGAAACGTAAAAGCCTGGAAAAGAAAAGGCAGCTCTGTCCCTTTAAAAATCTCCTGGAAGAAAAATGTTGAAAGGAAAAGAGAAAAAAAGCGAAATCCAAAATAAATAAACGGCCACATCCGGATTTCCCCCCTGAGACACTAATAAAGGGTTTATGAGTTTGATATGAATTACCCTCCCTGGCCATTTACAGCTGATCTTCTGGAACACATTAGTCTCCTCTCCCCTTGCCCCAGCGCGGGGGGCGGGCGGCTCCGGGCTCGCGCTTCCCGGCACGCTGGGCTCTGCCTGGAGCAAATCCTCCCGGAGGCGCGAGGCCCGGCGGTGCCAGCGGCTCGGCGCGCCACGGCCTGCAGGGCAGCTCTGCTCTTTGCAGGCGTGCCGGAGCAGGAATGCAAACGGCGGATTCCAGGGCCCCGTCCCCACGCRGCTCCGAGAGGCCAGAGCTTTTCCGGCAGAGCCTCCTCCCACGGCAACGGAGACCTGAGGAGCCTGGAGCTCTGAGGTGCGGGGGGCCGGCGTGGGCAGCGGGGCCCGTCCGCTCAAAGGACTCGCTGCGGCTCCCCTTTGTGGGCTCTGCCTCCTCCGGACACCTTGTCCCAGCTGAGCCCTCTCCTGCTCACACCACTGCCTGGGCTCGAGGCCCGCTCCTCACAGCCCCACCTCATGGCCCTGTTGCCATCAACCCCTGGGCCTCAGAGGTTGAGCTGGGCACATCCCGAATCYCCCACCTTCAGCGGGGTCCTCCTGCGAGCTCCAACACGAGGGACCGCGACAGCAACGCTCCTTGGCCCAGGCATCACCCCACGCAGTGCCCATTGGCATCAGGGCCCTGCAGGGCTCTGCTCCGCATGCACCCGCAGCGCTTCCCTGGTGCCAYGGCAGGGAAGGGGAAGGCGCTGCGTTCCCAAATTGCGACGCACGCAGAGGCCCAGCCGGCAGCCTTCCCGGCGCGTGCGGGAAAACGCAGCATCGGCCTTGCTGCGCTGCCTGCATCGGACTCCTCGGGATGCTAATTGAAAGCAGCAACCGAGTTAGGAAAACAGCTGTTGGCCACAGCCAGAAGCGATTTCCTCTGGGTCAAAAGCTGGACCCGATGCAAAGCTGGGCTGTTGGGAAGGCCGAGGAGCAGAGTGGGGGAAAGGGACTCATTTCCCGCACCATCTGGACAAGCTCTAGCCACGGCCCCTGCTCCCTTTCTGGGAGCAAGCAGCCTTTGGTCAGCCCAGAGCTGCCTTCAGGAGATGTGTCCTCTGCTCGGCCTCCAAAACGAGGCCAGGACCCCTGTCCCCATGCCACAGTGGGAGGGTGAGAGGGACCAGGTTTGGCGAGGAGGGAGGAAGGAGGAGACGGGCGAGGGTTTGGACCATCGTGCTGGGGTGGGAATCGTTCACCTTCCACCCTGGCAGCCCCTGGGGGAAGCCTCAAAGGCCCAACGTGACTCGACCTCCAGATACTACGAGATGGTCCTGGACGTCGCCTGTGTGTGGGGCTGGCCAGAGCCTGAAATGCACGTGGAGGCAGAAGCCCAAGTGGGACAAGAGGGTGGCCTCGGTCGGCACTCTACCACCCCCAGCGCATGAGCGCGGGCAGGCRCCCATGAGGCCGGCGCTTGCCACGGTGCCACTTCGGGCACCCTCTGTGAGGGGACCCCCGCACGTGGCAGAGCTGCTCAGGAGGAAGGTGGGCACCTCCTCCCAGAGCGAAGGACGGCGGGTGTCCCTGGGCCCCTCTCTCCTCAGCTGCTCGATGCATCTTGGCAGCCTTGTGGCAAACCAGGCTTCAGAGGAGTGGGTAGAGCCAAGTGTCTGTGCTCTGCAGTTGTGTGTGGAGGAAGGGAGGCCGAGCAGCACCAGTAAAGCTGCCCAGGAGGGTTTTTAGTCAAGAGCCAYGTGCTCATCCTGCCACTTGAAGAGCAGCGGCCGGAGGCCGAGGGCCTCTCTGACGCCCCGTGTTGCTTATYTGGTGGAGGAGCAGAGCAGAGGAGTTGGACGTCGGGTCAAAGTGGCCCTAGTGCCTGCTCGAAGCCCGGCTCAGACCTTGGCCGCGGGGCAAGCAGAGCCTCGGGCCCTTTGCTTCCTCTAGCACCCGCTGCCCGTTAATTTCCCAATCTGCTTACTCCTGGATTTCTCCCGTAGCGCCTGTTCCCAAGAGGGCCCAGAGCCCGGATGGGCATCCCAGCGGATGGGCTGCCCTGAGCACAGCAGAAACATCCAGAACCTTCCCATGTTTGTGGGTGGAGGGCCTAGTGGGTCAGCGTGGAGCTGCTGGCAGTGGATTCAGGAGAGGGCCCAAGCACATGGTTTGCATTTTGCTCTCCCCCTTAGCTCGTTAGCGCAGCGAGTGTCCCCGCTGATCCCTGCCACATGTGCAACACGAAGGATCCCTTCCAAGGGGAAGGGCTCTGCGGAGCGAGCGGGTTCTGGGCAGCGCAGGCGAGCAGGGGAACGTGTGTGGGCGCATGGAGCTGGGCCGCGAGGATATGGTTTAACGAAGAGCTTAGAACTGGCTCTCTGGCCCGTGTTCAAAGAATGTGAGAGCACTAATCACACGCGTAGATGCGTGTGGTGGGAAGCGTCTGGCGGGGCGCCATGAACACAGAGGTTACTGCGATGCCCGTCGCGCGCTCCCTGTGTGTGCCACCACTGTGCTGCCCCACATGGCCCTGGGTTGGGAACACCAGGATCTGCCTTGAGGTCACGCAATGCGCAGCCTCCTCATGCAACGGGCCCCACGTGCGGGTCTCCTGCCCCCACCGCACCGCACTGCACCGCACTGCACCGCACTGCAGCGAGGCTCTTTGCTGGGGAAGAGGCGCCTGTACCCGCGCAGGAGGCCGAGCGCTTGCCCTGCTGCTCCCAGAGGTGCGGAGCACGATGCCGGAGCAGGCGGTGCACAGGGCGAGCGGGTCCCGCATCCAGTCCCGGCCCTGCTGCGCTCACGGATGCATCCGGACRGCACCAGGACGGAGCGGGCCCTTCTCTCCAAACCTGCTGCCAGGAGGAGAGGAGGCCTGAAGGCTCCTTCTCGCTCCCACTCGGAGACTCCCTCCCTCCCTCTGCCTCCCAYGGGAGGCAGAGCCTCCCATGGCCTCCTGCCAGTGCTGCAGCAGGGCCTGCAGGTGCTGGCCGTGTGGCTGAGCTCAACCAGGCGGCCGCGTGGCGTGTGCTGCCACTGGGCCCTGCTTCTGCCTCTTGCCGTCCGCCCACTCCTGCTGATGGGGATGACTGCCCAGCTCGGGTCTGGTGGCCCAAACCACTGCACGTGGCCTCTCCTCTCCTCTCCTCTCCTCTCCTCTCCTCTCCTCTCCTCTCCTCTCCTCTCCCATGGCACCCAGCACTCCCGCTTGGTGGCCGCCGGTGCCCGCTGCTGCTGCGAGATGCCGCCAGCTGCCCGGCTCTCCGGGACCTGCAGCGTGTCCGGCAGCCTCCGCTTGCCACGCTCTGGCGCAGCCTCTTTGTCCTACAACCCACACCACTCAGCGTGGAAGGGGCCGCCTGCCCAGCTGGTGGCCCGGCACCCGCCACATTGCTGTGTCTCCGCTGCGGACAGCRGCACCCACTCACCAGGGAGGCAGAGCCTCCCTCCTCGTGCGTGGCCTGCTGGTGTCCCGGCGGAGCTGCCCTTACCCTGCGCTCACGGCATCCCTGGCAGCACGGASGGACACAAGGGGACGGCACTGGGCAGCGCACATGCAGCATCATCTGGTGCCACGGGGCAGCCGTGGGGCCGCCCTGCCGCGCTCAGGAGCAGTCACCCACTGGGAGCCCGTCCCACTGGGCAGAGCCTGGGGAGGACGGGGCCAAAGCGCTCGTGCTGCTTGTCCCGACACCGATAGCGYGGGGGCTGCCCCGGGCTGCCCCTGCTCACCGCCCGCCCCACACGTGCCCTTCGGCCGGTGCCCTGCCTGTGCCCCGGGGCCCGTGTTGGGCTTCAGCCCCACATTTGCGCCCCCTCGCCTGCTCCTGCTGTGGGGCGGGCACAGCCCGGGCCCAGCGGCTGTGGGGAAGAGGATGGAGAGGAGGGAGACCTGCCTTCCTTGGAGGCTGCCAATGACGTGGGGAGCTGCGGGACGCGCGTGCGCGGCTGCTCCGGGGCCTGCTCCATCTCACACAGCTGCCGGCTCAGCTTCGTCACTTGAATCCTCAGATTGTCCTGGTGGGAAGGAAATAGCAGAAAACCCAGGGGTAGCCCCAAAGGCAGGTCTGGAAGGAGCGCGGCAGGGCTTGGCCTGGCCTGGCCCTGAGCACGGCCCACAGAGAGGAGGTCACCAAGGCACTGCTGGAGCGTCYACACTCCTGCAGCTCCTGGCACGGCTATGGGGTAGAAAGTGGGACGCGAGGCCCCAACTGGTGCTTGGAGGAGGCTGCCACATGACTCCCGAGAGCGGCAGAGCCGTCAGGCAGAGGGCAACGCGCTCACAGGCCGGAGCGTTGCTGGAACGGCAAYGGGGATGTTAATTAAGACACGAAACCTCCCGCAGACCCAAGTGGCGTCACTTGTGCTGGCGTTGTTGGAGAGAGGCAATTGAATACAGGCGTCCTCCCAGCACCAGCAAGTCCCTCGGCCCCAGCGGCTGGGGACAATTGAGCCACCCCTCGCGTCCCAGCGTGGCGTCCTAAGGCAATAATTGATTTCCCAATCTGGCTGGAAGCCCCTYGGATGTTCTGCTCCTTTGATTATTTGACAGAGCATGTTTTTTAAATTACCCTTGTGTAAATATTTACGCATTTTTACAAGAACCACGTTTTCAGTGAGAGGACAGGACAGAGGCAGGGCCAAAGGGAAGCGGGCCACCCCACGGATTGCTCCATCCCTGCCTCCGAGGCTGGCGCAGGGGCAGCGCAGGGCCATGGAGCTGCACGGGGAGCCGGGTACCGCGTGTGTCACCGCGGGCCGCACGCTGACAGCGGGTGTCAATGATGGGTGCTACCCGGCGCTGGCACAGGGTGGCGGAGGGGAAACAGCTGGCAGTTGGGAAGCGGCTGGCGGTTGCAGGGAGAGAAATGCAGCTTGTGGCTGTGATCCTGCCCCTTCCCGGCTGCTCCCCCGGCTTGTCCCTCCCCGGGGGGTAACGTTTGGCAAAGCGCAGGACTGGCCGGGGGCCAAACCGCCTGGCGCAGATGCGTGCGGAGTCGGCCGTTCCTGGAAGGCCTAATCCCGGCCTTCGCGTGTCCCCGTTTGGCCTGGCATGCTGCGCCTGGCCCGCTTCCCCGCCGGGGCGTAGGACCAGCTCCCATGGCCACTGCGAGCTGAGGAAGGGGAGCATCCAGCTTGGCGCCCACGTCCCGACCGAGGGGCCTGCCCTGCTCTGCCCGGCCCTATTCCTCGATGTCGCATGGCAGCCGGGCCACGCACCCCCCAGCGCCCTAGGGCCCCTGGTGCTCGGGCCCCTGCTCCCCACTGCAGTCCTGAGGCACCTCCTTTCACCCGCTCTAAGGCGCAGGGTACAGCTCCCTCCTCAGCTCGCCATAGTCCTGCAGCACCCACAGCGGTGGGATGCGTCTCCAGGCATGCGTGTGGAGCCCAGGATGCCGCAGGCAGCCTGCGGTGCCAGCAAGGCTGCTATGCTGCCTTCGCTCTTACCCTGTCCCGCTGGGTGTCCCGCAGCTCCTGCAGGAAGCCCCTCAAGGCCACATGGACATGGTCAGGGTCAATGTCACCCACAGCCGATGAGCCAAAGGCTGGAGACGCCCCGGGGCTGGGTGCAGAGCTCTGCAGACCTGCGCGCACGGGGACAGTGATGAATTCAACCTCCGGCGTGGCGGGGCCCACGCGGGGCTGCCTGGGGCAGACCGACCTTTGGCAGGGGAGCCGGCCCGGTGTGGAGACGGGCTCCTTGTGCCCAGCCCCAGTGTGCGGTGCAGGGCTGTGCGCAGCCCTCCCAGCTTGGACTCTGCCGCCCTCCTGGAGGCCTCGGCCCTCTCCAGTTCTGCTTCCAGGCCCCGCAGGCGGCCCCGGGCCATGCTGAGCTGCAGCTGGAGGCCGTCACCAGCCCCGTGGGCCTCCTGCAGCCTCAGCTCCAGGCCGCCCAGCTCATCCCGCAGCATCTTCTCGCGGACGCGGCTGTCGCCCAGGCTGCCCTGCAGTTCCTTCTCGCGCTCCGCCGCCGCTCGCTCCGCCGCCGCCAGCTGCCTCTGCAGGCCCAGCACCTGCCAGGCAAACATGTGGAGCAAGCGTCCGGGGCAAGGGCTCCACAGCGTCCTGCATGCGCAGGACACATGCAGTGAGCTCCCCGGGGCTGCCCACCTCTCTGCGCGCGCGGTCCTCACTGCTCTCCAGCTCTGCCAGCCGCCGCTGCAGCTCCCGGCCCTCCCGGCAGCTCTGCTGCCGCTGCTGCTCCTCCTGCAGGATCCGGGCCTGCAGCTCCGCAACCTCTTTGCCCTTCTTGCTGTTCTCACTCTCTAGAGCCTTCACCTGTGAACAAGGAGGCTCAAGACTCACTGTCTGGCTGGGCCAGACACCGTGCCAGGCTCTTGGGAGTGACAGGGAGCAGGAATGGGCTYGGAGCCCCTTGGGCATCCTCTCCGGTTTGGCTCTTCCTCCTGCCAGGAGCCAGAGCCAGGAAAACTGCTGGAGCTCCGGGCCCAGGGAGAAGGCTGGGGCCTCTCTGCCCTGTCTGCGGGCTCAGGGAGGGTATCGCAGTGGCACTGCCAGCACATGCTAGTGGCCCTGTTGCGACGCCTCACTCTGGGCTGGCCACCGCGCGCGTGATGGCGACGGCAGCGGATCTCCACACACCTGCCTGCACACGTCCTGCAGCTCGCGGCGCGCTTCCAGCCGCAGCCTCTCCGCCGCGCGCAGGCTGGCCCGCAGCTCGCCGGCTTCCCGCTGCACAGCCGCCCGGGCCTCCTCCAGCACCGCCACCTTCTGCTCCTTCTCCTCCTTGGCTCTCTGGAGGCTGAGGGGCAATGGGAGTGATTTCGCACCAGCCCAGGGCCCGTCCCGGTGGAGCCAGGCGTGGCAGTGCTGGTGCAGTGCGCGCGGAGCCCACCTGAKCCGCTCGCTTTCGGCCCTCACGACGGCGGCGCGCAGCTCCGCGTTGGCTTTCTGCAGCGCTTCCTTCTGCCGGCTCTCGTCCTCGGCGGCCCGGTGAGCCCCCAGCAGCTCCCGGCGCAGGCGCTCCCGGGTCTCCTCGCCTTCCCGCAGCCGGCGGAGCGCCTCGGCCAGCTCCTTACGTGTGCCACCATGCGCATCCTCAGCCAGGCGCAGCTGCACCTTGAGCTGCTCCGCCTTGGGGAGGCAAACACAGTGCCCACCCGCGTCTCCCAGCTGCGCTCCTCCTGCTGCCAGGCCGGAGCCAGCCTCCATGGAGGACAATGGAGACCGGTGGCTTTCAGGGGACCTCTTTTGGGACACGGAAAGTGTCCTAAAGGGGAGGCATTGGGGGGGACCTCCTGGCTCTCGCTGCTGGCCCTGCCAGATGAGAGGGGAAGCTCTCCCAGCCCTTCCCCCACATGGGAGCCGCAAGCGAGTGGCGCGCTTTCCGCTGAGCTCAGCAGAATTTCGCCCAGGAGGTCAGTGACCAGAGAAAGGGGCGATCCATCATTAAACCAACTGTTTTCATTTCCCAGGATAAAGGGGAGGAAGGAGGGTGTGTGTGTGGACTGGGACTGGGGAAAAGAAAAGAGCAAAAGGCAGGAAAACACCCCCCACATTCCCTGCCCTTAACAACCTCGGCCCCTTCCCCGCACGGGCGGCCCTGCACGCTCACAGCACTTTTACAGCCAAAGCTCTTAATGTGATTATAATAATTATTTCTTTACTTGTTTTTTTTTTTTGTTTTTTTTTGTTTTTTTTTTCTTTTTCTTTCCCTTTCTCGTAAACAGCCTCTTTTGAAACCTCGCCGGGGGAGCCAGGACTCCAGCTGAGCCCCTGGCCCAGAGGAAGGAGCGAGGGGGTAGGGGAGCGTGTGAAGGAGCGCGTGCGTGCCGGCGAGCACGCGAGCGCGCGGGGGCCCGTGCCTGGCGCCCCCGCGGTGCTGCTGTCCGCGGCAGCGCGGCCGCGTGGGCCACGCGGCTCCGCACGCTCGGCGCGCGTCTGCCATGCCCTCGCTCGCCTTCCCCGCCCTCCGCTCGCACTGTTGGCCCCCCAGTGCCCCTTGTCCCCTCGCCGCCTCCTCGTGCCACTCGCTGTGCTCCTCATGACGCTCCGCCTGCCCCGCGGGCCTCCACAGGCCTCTGAGTGCCCCTGTAGCTCCCTCAGCGAAGCCCCGCTCTCCRCTCTGCTGTGTGGTCCCCCCTCCAACCCCGGCCTTTGAAATCTGTTGAAAGGAGGCCATTTTTTGCCAAAATAAACAGCCTGTCATGTTAAATTACTCTCTCTTCCTCTCTAAGTCCCCCGACCCTCTCTCGCCTCCCACCCCGTCCTGCCCTCTCGGCTCAGGAGGCCGTTGCGCGGGGGTGCTCGCGGCAGCCATGCAGCTCCGCGGCCCCTTCCTCGGCCTCGTGCTGGAGCCGGGAGCGAGGCAGAGCCCACACGCTCAGCCGCCTCCTACCTCCTGCACCCTGGCCGCCTTCTCCTTCGCCAGCTCCTTGGCGYGCTCGTTGAGGCCCTTGGCCTCGCGCTGGTGGGCGGCCACGGCGTCTTCAAACCGGCCTTGCAGGCTCCTCAGCTCCCTGCTCACGCTGGCCACCACATCCTAAGGGAAGGGAGAGACGGCGTGAGAGATGCCGAGTGCTCTGCGCGGCCCCCTCGCCTACCTCGGGCTGCCCCCCAGCAGCTCTCGCACCCATTCGCCCTGTCTCTTGGTGCCGCTTGCGAGCCGGGTGCCCAGCTTGAACAGGCCCCGGCATAYCGAGCACTCTCTCCTTCCAATCATGGTGAACGCGACCTGAGCCCTTCTCCAGTGCCAATTCATCGCTGTGTTTTTTTTTTCCTCTCTTGCTTGCCCTCGCTCTTGTTTTATTATTATTTTTTTTTCACTCTCTGCTGTTTCTAACGGAGCTAAAATTCGTAGAACCATAAAATGCAGAGATGGAAAGCGACCTATTACCTCATCCAGCCCAGCCCCTCTGCCAGCACCAAGCCGTTCCCTACTGAATGTCCCGGGTGAGTTGTCTAGACCAAGCCTGACCGTCTCCAGCAATGGGGATTCCAGCATTTCCCTGAGAGGATTATTCCATGCTCTAATTGACCTTATTGTTAGGAAATTTTTCCTGATGTCTAGCCTAGAAAGTTTCTGTGCTACGTTTGTGCCCATTGCTTGGCTACCCTTCCCTCCTGTTCCCCAAACACCCTGCCCTTCGCTGGCCTTGGCTGTGTGCTCTCTCCGTCCCGTGAGTCTGTCCTCAGGGCCAGGTTCATCCCTCCAACGTTCTGCTGCTTCCTCTACGCTGCATCCAGCTTCCTCTGGGCTTCCTGAGGGACAGCCCACAGCCATGACCCAGGCTGCGTGGATGGGGAACAGGCAAAGTGAGGGCTGACAAAGTCAGTTCTTGAGTTCAGAGCCAACTCATTGAAGTCCCTTTGGGTCTCTTGCTGGTAGGTAGGGCAAAAGATGCCCTTGCTCCGCATGCCCCCTTCTACACGACCATCCTCCTTGCCATGAGGCCAAGGGATGCTCTGCATGGCTTCCTTCTGGCTGCCCTGGGCTTGCTGCTTTCTGATCCAGAAGCAAAGAAAGGCGTTCTTAGGCCAGCTCATTCTCTGGTGACACAAGTTCTGCACGCATATCTTGCCTGAGCCTACGCAGCAGACCAGGAGCGCTGCACGGTGGCTGCTTTCTCTGGCGATGCTGGTGTGACTTGCCTACATTGCAGCCTGCTGTCTCCTCAGCAGAGCCACTCACATTCACAAGGAACTGCCTGCAGAGCAGGCCCCATGTCTCAGCTCTTGCCCTGCTTGGGCTCAGTATAGGGCTSAGAAGAACTAGCCTTCCAAGCCCTGGAGATGGGCTGGGGAGTTAGTCACCAGTGATGCTTCCTCTGGTATCATAGAATCAGAGAATCCTTAAGTTTGGAAGGGACCCCTAGAGGTCATCTAGTCCAAGCCCCCTGCACACACAGGGTCATGTAGAGCATGTGGTAAAGGGCTGCATCCAAGCGGGTTTTGAAGATCTCCAGAGGAGACTCCACAACTCTCTTGCACCCGTTCCAGTGCTCTGTTACCCTCACTGTCAAGAATTTTTTCCTTAAGTTCCTGAGGGTGGAACTTTTGGTGCTTCAGTTTGTRGCCTTTGTGTAGTCYTGTCCATGGCCACCTCTGAAAAGAGGCCGGCCCCATCTTCCTCACTGCCTCCCTTGAGTTATCTATAGACACTGATCAGATCCCCCCTCAGCCTTCTCTTCTCCAGACTGAACAGGCCCAGCTCTCTCAGCCTTTCCTCATAGGACAGATGTTCCAGGCCTCTGATCATTTTCAATCATCCATCCTTCCTCCTGGCCAGGGCAGGATGAGGTCTGCATGGATTATCCAAAAGACATGTCCTGGTTGGAATGAGTGTTGGGGGCTGTGCTCCTCAGCACGGAGCCCCATAGAGCCTCTTCCCAGCTGAGGAGCTGTAGGGAGGCCCATACAGCCAGAGCCTGGCTCTGCTTCCAAGGAGGAGGTGTGTGGGCTTTTCATCTGCCTCTCCCTGGCCCGTGTGCTTTTCTCTGAGAGGCTGGCAGCTGGACATACACTCTGCTCTACCATGTGGGGACGCGTGGCAGTGACAGCAACCAGCAAGGCACACGCGTCACGGGCTGCTCCCACAGGTGGGCTTTGTCCAGGAGGGCCAGGAAAGCCAGCGTCCGGAACCTCCCCGTGGCTGCCGCACTACTCGCACGGAGCTTCGGAAGGGTTGGAGGCAGCGAGGGTTGCTGCAGAAATTTTGTCAAAGTGTGTTTTTGTCGTGGTTGGTTTGTGTGGGATTTTTTTTTTTCATGCAGTTGTTGCATTCAGTTCCCAAACAGCCTTTGATGTCAACGCTTTCCAAACGCGCTGCTCCGGCTGCATTTCTTTACCCTCCACGGACTGTTTGCTTTGTGCTGGGGGTTTGCTGCTCTTCCTGTGCACATCCCCCTTGGAACCACTCTCTCAGTGTTGCCTCCCCCGCTGCATCCCTGCTGCTCCCAGGCACGCATTTCGCGTTGGAAAAACAAGCCAAGGCGCCCCGCGCTCGGGAGGGCTCCGGGAGCTAGAGCACACGCTGCAGCACAAGCGCCTCCTGCTTTCCTGCATTGCCATTGCAGCTCCTACTCGCAACCCCAGTTCCAGTCGCCTCGGAGGAGATGGTGCCGTGTGGATTCATAGAATCATAGAATCACAGAATCCTTAAGGTTGGAAGGGACCTCTAGAGATTATCTAGTTCAACCCCCCTGCAYACGCAGGGTCACCTAGAGCATGTGGCATGGGATTGCATCCAGTGGGGTTTGGAAGATCTCCAGAGAAGGAGACTCCACAAGCTCTCTTGCCAGCCTGTTCCAGTGCTCTGTTACCCTCACTGGCAAGAAATTTTTCCTTAAGTTCCTGAGGGTGGAACTTTTGGTGCTTTGGTTTGTAGCCRTTTCCTGTAATCCTGTCGGTGGCCACCTCTGAAAAGAGGCCAGCCCCTCCTCCTCACTGCCTCCCTTGAGGTATCTATAGACACTGATCAGRTCCYCCCTCAGCCTCCTCTTCTCCAGGCTGAACAGGCCCAGCTCTCTCAGCCTTTCCTCACAGGGTAGATGTTCCAGGACCCTGATCATCTTCCTAGCCCTGCACTGAACTCTCTCAAGCAGCTCCACGTCTCTCTTGTACTGGGCATTCACTGGGGGCTTATCAGTTTTGACCTTGCTAGTCCTCTCCACTGTGAGCTTCTATGAAAGGTGAGGCCTTAAGCCTCTCCTGAAGGGCCCTGAGTTCTTTTGGGAATGTGGAGAAGGATTTGGGCTTACCTGATCCTGCTCCTGGCGTGTGAGAGCCTCATGCTTCATCTGATCCATCTCCAGCTGGGCATTCACAAGCTCCCTCTGGGCTTCGCCCAGCTTCTCCATCACAATGCTCTTCTCCGCTTCCATCTGCAACAGAGCCAGAAAGCCACCACAAGAGGAGCCATGGGGCAGGTGCCACATGCTGAGGGGGCGGCAGGTAGGAGCCAGCCTCGCTCCAGGCCCCACAGCCCAGGCTGCTCTTCTTGGTGACCTCCAGCGAGGGCCGAGGTGGCTGTGGGCATGTTGACCCGCTCTCCCACACAAAGGGACTCCATGGGCGCTGTTCACAAGCCCTGCAGCCCGGCAGCACCCGTGGGAGCGCCACGCTCACCTGCTGCTTGTCTTCCTGCAGCAGCAGGACGCTCTGGTCCCGCTCCTGCCGCAGGCTCTGCAGCGCCTCCTCCAGCTCCTCCTTCTCTGCCCTGTGCTTGGACACCAGCTCTTCTCTCTCCCGCTGCAGGTGCCGAACAGCCTCTGCCTTTGCCTCGGCCAGGGCCTGCCGCAGGCTCTCCTGGACAACAGTGGAGCAAGGGGCGGCCTCGGTCCCCACCGGGACATATTCGCTCAGCCACGGTGCGGGGTCACCTGTGGGGAGAAGCTCCGGCAGGAGCCGTATGCGGGGATGGGATGGGGCACGTCTCTTACCTTCTCCCTGCAGAGGCGTCCCAGCTCCTCCTCGTGGGCCAGTGCCATCTCCCGGAGGGCCGCCCGCCTCTCCTGCTCGGCCTCCTGCCGCAGCGAGGCCAGCTCGCCCTGCGCTGCCTCCACCTCGGCTGCAGGATATGGCCCCACTCAGCAACCCTGCTCTGCGGCCGCCCCCGGGCATGCGGCAGCCAGCCAGCCTGTTACCTCGCAGCGCCTGCCGGCAGCGCGCGCCGCTCTGCTGCTCGGCCACCAGCTGCTCCGTCTGGAGCTCCAGGCGGGCCRCCCGCTCCTGCGCCTCTGCAAGGCTGCTCTCCAGGGAGTCCCTCTCGGCCCTGTGAGGCGGCGGGTTGCTCAGTGTCCTCCGCGCTCCAGAGAAGGGCCCTGGCTGTCTCTCCTCCGCCATGCCAGCGGGATGCATCCCCAAGGCACCCTGAGTGCGTCCCACCACGAGCCCCGCGGCGGGCAGTACCGCAGAGCCTCCGTCTCCTCCAGCAAGCCCTTCTCCTGCCTCTCCAGCGCTGCGAGCTGCACCGCCAGTCGGGACCTCTCCTGGGCCAGGTCCTCCTTGTCCCGCAGGGCTTGGCGTAGAGCCGCTGCCCGCACCTCGGTCTCCTGCTGCTCCTGCGCCAGCTCCTGCACCAGCGCTTGCTCCTGGCCCCTTGCCTGCAGGGGAGCCCAGCCACATGGCAGCCACCATCCCCGCCACAGAGGTGGCGTCAAGGGAGCCACGTGGTACCTGCAGCAGCTGCTCCTGCAGCTGGGCGTTGTGGCGGTGCGTGGCCAGCAGCTCCTCCTCGAGCCGCCCCCGGCGCTCCTCGTCTGCCTGCCGTCCCTGCTCGAGGCTGCGGCGGGCCGCGCTCGCCTCCACCTGCTCCCGCTCCAGCTGCGCCAGCCGCTCCGCCAGCCCGGCGCGCTCCTGCTCCAGCTCCTGCTGCCGTGCCACCAGCGAGCTCTTCTCCTCCTCCAGCTGGAAGTGACGGCGCAGGGAGGGAGGTGAGGGATGTGGCGAGCCCCGGTGCGGCAGTGCCGAGCCCCGGTGCGGCAGTGCCGAGGCCGTGCGGCGCACGCTACCTGCAGGACAGTGCCGCTCAGGCCGGCCTTATCTTGTGCCAGGCCCTCGTTCAGGGCTGCCATTTTGGCGAGCGAGTCTCTCAGCTCCGCTCCCTCCAGCTGCATCACGTTCAGGGCCAGCTCCAGCTTGGCGCAGGTGGCCTCAGCCTGCGGGAAGGGCAAGAGCCCAGCTCCACAGCTGCCTCAAAGGGCAGCCTGTGGCAGCAGAGGGGCCAAGGTGCTGCTCCACGTCACCTTCCTCAGGGCGCCACCCAGGCTATCCTTCTCGCCCTCCAAGACCTCCTTGGCCAGCGTGGCCTGGCCCAGTGCCTCCGTCACCACCAGTAGCTCCTTCTTCAGGGCTGAGGACTTCTCCTCCAGTTGTTCCAGGGACTGTTGCCTGCGTGGGGAAGCCAGGTCCCAGCTCCTTGCGGCGGCCCCAGGCCTGTGGGTGGCTGCTGACTCAATGGGAGCAGCGGCCGAGTGGCTGGGCTGAACTCACACTCGCTCCAGCTCTTTCAGGCCCCTCTCCCGCTCGCTGGCCAGCTCCTCCTTCTGCTCCTCCAGGAGGGCTCTGTGCCGCTGCAGCTCCGCATTGGCGGCCATCAGCCTGGCCACTTCCCGGCGGCAGGAATCTACCTCCTCGCCCAGGCTGCCCGCCCTGGCCTCCGCCACYTGCTTCTCCCTGCGGACGTGAGGCCAGGCGCGAGGCTGAGCTCTGCAGTCCTCTCCCTGGTTTCCCCCAGGGCACCCGAGGGCCACAGGGCCTCACTGGCTCAGCACGTCGGCAGAGGCCCTGCAGCGCTGCAGGTCCCGCTCACGCTGCTCCAGCTCCTCTGCCGCTTGCTGCCGGCCTCGCCGCTGCTCCTGCGCCCGCCGCTCTGCTGCATGCACCTCCTGCCGCCACTCGCACGCCTCCGTCCTCGCCGCCCGCAGCGCATCCCGGGCGGACGCCAGCTGCGAGCGCAGCTCCTGCCCACCGAGAGACAGGGAATCCAGCAGGATGTGTACCCCCTGCCAGCGCTTGACTGCAAGCCTTCTACCTCAGGGCTCTGTCCCCAACAGGTCTTGTCCCTGTTGTCCCCACCCTGGTCCGTGAGCGTGACCCGGAGCTGCTATCTCCCTGCATGTCCCTTCACCTGTTCAAGCAGTTGCTGCTGCTGGAGTGCTGCCTGCAGCGCTGCCTCGGGCTGCTGCGGGATGTGCCGGCGCTGTGGGGAGCTGGTGCGCGGTGGCGAGAGCCCTCGGCTGCCTGCTGCTGCTGCCGCCCCACCCCTGCCATCCTGGGACAGGGGTCCCACTGCCCCCTTGCCTTCCGCTGCCTCCCTTGTGGTGGCCGCTTTCTGTGTTGACAGGTAAAGAGGCCCTTAGTGGCCATTGCGCGGGCAGAGGGAGCGGGTGCACATGGAGCAGGCCCATGGGGTGCAGGTGGGCGCACCAGCTTTTCCATGTCCAGCTTGAGGCGGGTGATGGACTCGTCCTTCTCCACGTTTTGCTCCTGGAGCCGCTCCGCTCGCAGGCTCAGCTCTGCTATCCTGGAAGAGAAGGGGCCTCATGGATGCCGCATGCAGGCAGGACCCACACAACCCTGTTTCGGAGACGTTGGCCCGTGGAGCAACGTGCTGCCCATAATGCCCACCCAGTTCCCCACCCATTGGATGGCAGCAAGCTGGGACTTTGAGTGCCAAAGAGTCAGCCCTGAGTTCTGTCCTTGTAGCCTCCAAACCACCTGCCTGGAGAGACAGCTCAGCCAGGGCGCTCTCACCTGGAGTTCAGCTCCACTTTCTCTCCATCCCAGCGGCTCTGGAGCTCTATCATCTCCTGCACCTTGTCCCGGAGCTGCTGTTCCAAGCGCACCCGATGCAGGCTCTCCTTCTCCAGGGAGCAGGTGGTGTGGCTCTGCGACAGGCGGAGGTTGGAGTCCAGGTTAAGGCAGGCTGTGTGGAGGCGCCGTGCCAGCTTGGCCATGTCTATCCTTGCCTCTGACAGGCCTCTGGTGATGAGAGAGAACATCCCCATGGGTCACATAGGACACATGCTCCCTGCTGGACTTGGAGCCTGTCTGCCACACTTGGCACCCATAGGGCTGGCCCCCCGCCTTCCGCAGGCTCCAAGTGTCAAGGCCACCRTGGGCAGGACACCCAGGTGTCTGCCCTGGAGGGGTATTTTGTGGCACCCACCTCTCCATGACGGCCCGGAGGTCCATGAAGCGCCCGCGCAGTGCAGCTGCCTGGTGCCAGAGCAGGAGGGTCTCRCCACTCTCACTCCTCCAAGAGGGGCCAGAGCTCTGCCAGGGATGGGAGCAGGACACATCGGTCAGGTTGGAGCGGGAGTCAGCACCATGCCAAGGGTTGGGATGGCTCCTSGTTTGCACCGGTCTGTGCCTTGGGCATTGTCTTCTCCCCTGTCCTATAACTGTCTTGGCATCACCTCCCARACCTGCAAGGTCCCTGTCGTTCGCAAAGTTTTTTCAGCCCAGGTTAGCGAGTGGGCCAGGGCAGTGTCACCTCTCTGCTGTGGCACTGCTCCAGCTCGCCCCTCAGGYGGTGAATGTCCTCCATGGCCTTCTGCAGCTCTCCGGCCAGGCGCTGGTTGGAGGATTTTATCTCTTCCAGCTGCTCCCGCAGAAGAGAGTTCATCCKTGACAAATCGGCGCTCCTAGGGCACGATGGGCAACATGAGTGGCCAAGGTCTCTGTGAGCTCCATGCACAGCCATTCTCTGCCATCCCAGCAGAGAAACCTGGCAGGCTTCAGAATTTGCCCTCTTCCCCTCATCCTGATGCACCTGGGACAATCGTTGCAGCTGCAGGGAAGGGTTTAGACCCCAGGAGTGCGACAACACACAGCCCTGAACGGGGCTGAGGGTGACATGGAGGAACCAGGCAGGCTGGGACTGGACACAGACCCACATGGCTGGGGATCCAGCACTTGGGCAAGGAGATGCAGGGCCTGTTGTCCGCCTTCTGTGGGCTCTACYCTCTACGAGGCTGCAAGGAGCCCTGTGCCTGCTCACCTCTGCTTCTCATCCTCCAGATGCAGGAGAGTGCTGTCCAATTCAGAGCTGTGGTCCTGCTCTGCAAGCTCTCTGGGCTCCCTGTGCTCCAGCTAGCACAAGAAGGAAAGGCAGGCAATGAGGTGATTTCCTTCCTACCTCGATTCCTGGAAGAGCATTTCCCACTACTGCAGGGCAGCCCATCTGCACTGACCTCTGCTGGAGGCTCTGGTTCTGTGGTTTTCTCCAGAAGCTGCTGCTCCAGCTCCCCACATCTCCTCTTGTACTGCAGAACCTTGTCCGAAAGGGATAGGAGAGGAGTAAGAGATAAGAGAGAAAGCAGGAGTTGGCTCCAGCGTCCCCTGGCCGACRTCGAGGCCCTATTTGCGGTGCTGTATGGGCTGTGGCGCAGGACGAGTCCGTACCTTGCCCTGGAGGCGCTGGACGAGCTGCGCCTGGCGCTGCTGGCCCTCCTGGTACGCCTGGAGCTTGCGCTTGAAGGCCCTCTTGTCGCCCTCGAAGCGCTGCCTCAGCTCCCGCAGGCGCGGGCTGCCCGGTGCCTCGCGCTGGGCTGCCTCGCTTCTCAGCACTCGCTCCAGCTGCCCGCGCCGCACGCACAGAGCTTGCGGAGGGCACGCGGGCCGTGGTGGGGCCGCTGCCCTCAGGGCACGAGCGGCCTCCTGCTACACTAAGGGCAGGTCGCAGCCTGACAGACCCACCAGTGAGGGCCTGCTCTGCCCTCCTGGACACTACTATGGGCTTTGCGGGCAGCTGGATGTGCCCGTCCCTTGGACATGGAGGGGAGGCCCAAGCGCTGCGGGTGCGTGGCGATGGGTGACGCTGGCTGTCCTGGGGCCCCCAGCACTTACGCGCTCATTGACAGCCCGGTGCTTGGTGGCCACCTCGTCCCGCTCGGCGCGTGCCTGCGCCAGCAGCTCCTTGACGCGCGCCAGCTCCTTCTGCAGCAGCGCGTTCTCCTCCGCCATGCTGCTGGCCGGTGGACTTTCCCGCACCGCTGGCGACAAGGAGAGGGAGTGGAAAGGATGCTCCAGCCCCCACGAACTTGTGCACCCACCACTGACAAGGGGGTGGTCTTGGTGGCAAAGGGACCTCCTTGAGCCCCTGAGCTGGCCCGCAATGGGGACAATGGTGTCCCAAGCGATGCTCTTGGCAGGGGGTGGGGAAGGAGGGTGCACACAATGCRGGACAGATGGACAGACAGCCTCAGAATGAGCTGCCCGCAAAGGTGCCCCCTGGTTAGATGCCTGCCTGGAACTCCTGTCCCAGCCCCCAGCTTGTCCCCTACCCGGGGCAGCCTCCTCGGCCAGGCTCTCGGTGACGATCTGGCGAATCGTGGCAGGGATGGACGCGGGGGCTGTGTCGCCGCCCTCTCCCCGCACCAGCAGCGCCTTGTCCTCCCGGCCGGCACCGGGGCTCAGCACCGTGGCCTCCAGCTGCTGCAAGAGCCAAGTGTGGGGAGCTCCGGCRCCGGCGTCACCGTTCAGGCACGCACAGGGGGTCGCTGAGCCCTTCTTCTTCCTCTCACTCAGCCAGGGTGTTGTGGCACACGCAACGCCCCTGCGCCTGTAGCGGCCTTCGCCCCACGCAGTGGCAGGGATGGAGGGGACGGGACAGCCCCTGCGGTGCCTCCTCACCCACCTGCACGGTCGCCTCCAGCCTCAGCGCCGCGGCCCCTCCGTCCCGCTCAGCCATGGCTGCCGGGGGCGAYGCGTTGCCGTGGCCGCCGCAGCGACCAGGACGCGTTGCCACAGGGACGGTGGGGACAACACGGCCAGCGCCCCCTCTGCGGGGCTGGGCCAGCCAGGAGGCAGCGGGACAGCGGGGACCTCCCAGCTGCCGCATGGGGCTCACTCTCTCCTCCCGCATTCTGCCACTCTCTCCCCCCTCATCTCATTCCCACCCTTTCCCCGCTTCCCATTCCCTCACGTCCCGACGCACCCTGTGGCGTGTGCRAACACCGCCCGCTCCCCGCCCTGTGTGCACATTTCCTGGGAGCCGGGCGCCACCGGTCCGCAGCCATGGCATCGGCGTCGCGCTGGCACAGCTACCTCAGTGCGTCCCTGTCGCGCGAGGGACCACGGCTGCAGCGCTTCCAGCAGGCCGAGGACGTGGTGCTGACCCTGCTGGAGCGCGTCCGCCGGAGCGACCCCCGCTTCCTTGTGGATTACTGCCATGACTTGGAAGCCCTGGAGTTCGCCCTACGCGATGACGACGATGCCATCACCCTGGAGGTGCCCCTGCGGGTTGACAGCAACACCCTGCAGGTGCGACTGTGCCGGCCCGGAGAGGGCCCAGCTGAGAACGCGGTTCCCTGGCACTGTCCACTGCCGGGCACCTGTTATCTGGAAGTGCCATGCCAGGTGCCCGGCTTAAAGGACTGGACCAGCACCGCTGCCTGGGGTGGAATGGAGCAAACGGGTGGCACCGTGTGCCTGGTACCAGGCAAAGTCCTCCAGCACTTGAAGGAACTCCTTGTTTCGGCCATCGTGCACTGCCAGCGCCACTTCCTCCTCCAACCGGGTGCGTAAGCGAGCGGGGGCTTCCCAGGACTCCGGCCAGGATGGAAGGGTGGGGGACGAGTGTGTTGCCCCAAGCAGGAGATGGCTCTGGGTGCAGAAGGGGGAGAGTTGGGAGGGTGCCTGAGCTGATCCTGCATGCAAGAGCATCCCAGCCGGAAGCACCATCCYTGGGAAGGATGTGGCGAACCAGGGCTCTCCTGGGAATGCTCATGGGGATCCCAGCGGCACCTCTGCACCTCTCTCAATGCTTCTTTTCAATCACGTCTCACCTCTGACGCAGACCAGGTGATCTTACMGAGTCTCCAGCATCTCCTCTGATATGGCTGAACTCTCCCACATCCAGGCGACCTCAGCGCTGAAGAACTAAAGGAAGATGCCATGGAGCTGACCCTGCTGGTCCGCGGTGGCTGGAAAACCCTCCGCTTCAACCTGGTCCCCGTGGTGAGGAGACAGCAGGAGCCGATTGAGCTCTGTGGGCAGCGCAGCACCCGRGGCTTCCCCCAAGGCCCAGGCAGCCTCCGGAAGGCCACCCAGGAGGCCCACCTGGTCCCAGCCTCTCCCTACTGCTGGAGGTGAGGGGCACGTGGCAGTCGCCGTGCCTGGCTGGGCCTCCTGCATCCGTGCTCGCGCGCAGCTCCAAGCGAAGCCCTCTGTCATCTTGAGAGGCTGTTGGGGGGTGCTTGGCTCGCATGCTGACCCTCACAGGCCACAGCGGGGGCGCAGGCACCCAGGGAGGCCCCCGAATCAATGTCAGGAGCYGGGGTGGAGGGCGGCTGCTCTGGTGTCAGGGCTTGGCGAGCGAGTCTAGGCACCTCCCGGCAGCAGGTAAAGAGGAGCCTCCCCGCGTGGGCTGCGGGAGGGAGCAGGGCTGGGGTGACACGCCAGCCTCAATGCCCCAGTTATGCTGGGTGTGCTCCCTGACTGCATGCTCCATGCAGATCTTCCACACACCTGCCCATCCTGAAGCTGCTGCGGGCAGTGGGCACTCTGAAGAGTGCCCGTCTTGACAGCCTCCGCCTGCTCGAGCAGGTCCACCGCGAGGAGTGGAGGCAGGAGGCCCAGCAAGCCGGCCTCACCTTTGACCACCTCAAGGTAGGTCCTTCTGCACCCCAGCACACCAGGAGGTGCCCATGCGGGGCTGAGGGTGGCATCTCCTCCTGGGACCAAACCCTCCATCCTTGCTGAACCTGTTTGCAGCGCTCTGCGCCGCTGCCAGGTTGGGAAGGGCTGTGTCGGGGCTGGCACCCGGTGTCACAATCCAGGTGTGTGCTCCCTACCTTCAGATAGTCTTTCTGTGGAGCACGGAGCTGTTTCCCTCACCGGAGGACTGGCAGGACCTGGAGGGCTCCGTCTACCGGCTTTTGGTGGTCCTGCTGTGCTGCYTGGCCAGTGCGCGCTTGCCGCACTTCCTGCGCCCCGAGGAGAACCTGCTCCATGGGGACGCGCCACAGCTCAGCTCACTTTACGGCAAAGTGGAGAGCTTCGCCCGGGACCCCCATCGCTTCCTGCACTTCCACTTTGGCCCTCCCGTGCGCACCGATGGCCTGCACGCCAATCCCGGCCTCAGAGCCCTCCTGCAGCTCCCAGCCAAGAACGAGACCTACTGGGACACGGCCTATTTCGACCTCCTGCTCAGCCAGGTAGCGGGGGGACACCAGGGCCTGGTTTGGCTGCTGTGGCCAACGCGAAGCGGTGCCAGCAAGCTCTGTGGCTGGGCTCTCTTGGGTGTGCTGAGCTTGGCTTCCCCAGGCTGCCCAGCCCTTGGCCATCGCTAGCACGTGCTGCCCGGTGTGCTGGGCTCAAGCGGGGCATGACGCCCTCTCCCCTCACTCCCTGCACGTGTCTGCACAGTTCCAGGTGTACCGGATCCAGGACCCTGTGCGCTGCTCGGCCATGTCCCGGCTCCTGTCTAAGGTCCAGAAAGAAGTGCTGGTGCAGAGCCCACTGCCCGAGTGTCTCCCTGTTTGCCATCCCCACCACATAGGCCCTTCTGCCAGCACCCCAGCTTCCCGCAGGGAGAAGAGACATGACGGGGTTGTGGCCAACCCTAACACCTTGTTGCCAGAAGACACAGGATCACAGGTCATGGACTTTTTTCTCCTCCAACAACCAGAGAGACGGACCCAGCTGTCTCCTGTGCTGGGCAAGGATGTGCCCTTGTGGTGCTTCTTTTGATTGCAACTGTGATCTTGAAGCTCTGGGAGAGCTCAAGACAGCTACATGCATGGGAGAGCGTAGCCACATGGTGCTTTGGCCTCTTTATTCAGGAAAAAATGGTAGCAGGCAATGAGCAGGTGTTGGTGGCAGCTGGATGTAGTTGCAGGTGGTCTGTCAACTCTCCACATCACAGCTGGGCTCCGGAACAAGTGTTTCACATCACCTGCAGTGGAGGATACGGCTGTTCTGCACTGCTGGCCCTCAGGAAAGGACAGGCCAAGGATGATGGGGATGGAAGCGTGAGGAGGGGACCTGTAGATCRATCCTACCTCTGGCCTGAGGGTCAGCTGGGGCGAGGCAGGGGAAGGAGATGAGGGGGCCAGGGCAACCAGGCAGGGGGCACAGAATGGAGGATATGTAACCCCATCCCCATCCCATGGACATACTGCTCTATGGCTCCCCCACTKCCCTGATGTCCCCTGGCAACTCCTCCTGCTCCAAGAGCTCAGCTGAAGGCCGTGCGCGGCCGTGGCCTGGTGCACTCACAGCTTGCTGCGGTGACAGTGCTGGAGGGCGTCTCGCAGAGCCTGCAGCACCCGGTCCACGTTGGCTGCGGTCGAGTTGTAACCCATGAGGCCAATCCGGAAAACCTGCAAGGAGGCCGCGCGGGTTCCACGCTGCAGCACGGCCCTTCGGGGCTGTCGCCGCGCRTGGGCGCATGTGCCCCTCCATGCTCAGCATGCTTCACTCCCATTCTAACTGAATGTGCCTTTCCCCCCCAGCTCCGTGTGTGATCATTCATTCCAACTGTTGCGCAGAGTTGGGGAGTGAGCTGCGTTGCTGTAGGCCCTTGGGTGTCACCATGTGTTAGGTGCATGTGGCTGGCATCCAAGGACGAGCACCGCATGCTACTGATGGAGGCAACTTAGGTCTGGCAGGGCAGCATCCGAGGGCGGATGTTGGATCTTCCTGGGAGCCCAGGGTGACCACAGAGCAGTGTGGTGGGAGAGGAACCCTCTTCCCACCATTCTCAGCCTTCCCACCTTGCCGGCTGTGGGGCCCAGGCCTCCAGTGATCTCAATGTTGTGCTTGTCCATGACGTAGGTCACAATCTCCTTCCAATCGCAGTCCTCAGGCACCTTGACGGTGGTGACGGTGGGAAGCCTGGCCTTCTGGAAGAGAGAACAGAGTCACCGCCACTGCCGCTTGTCAGGCCCCTCGGGGGGAGAAAGTGTCTTGGAGTGGGTGGAATTTGGGATCTTCTTCTCCATCCAGAAGAGCTTGCGCCAAAATGCATCCAGGCCCAGTCTCTGGGAGAGGAAGTTCGCGATGTCCCCGTGTCACTTGGACTCGGTATGACCGGCTGGTCCCGGACCTACCTCTTCCTTCACGAAGAGCTCGAGCCCCAGCTCCTGCAGCCCCTGGCACAGGGAGATGCAGTTGGCTCGGTGACGGACCCAAGACTTTTCCAGGCCCTGTACAAGGGAGTGGCCGTAAAAGAGAGGTCACGGTTACTCCGTAACACCTGCTGGCGCCCGTTCTGCAGCACTGCTGCTCTGCTGCCCCCACGGAGCTCTGCTCACCTGCTCAGCCAGCATCGCCAGGCCCTCCCGCAGACAGTAGAGGCTTTGGATGGGTGCTGTGTGGTGGTACCTGCAAAATCCAAGCAGCACCTTGGTGGCCTCATCCCCRGGCTGGGGGAGAAGGGCTGTTCTTGGGGGATGGGAGTGCAGCCTGGGAAGCGCTGTGGGCAAAGGGAAGCGCCGCGCTGGGGTGCCCGCGGCCGGACGTGCTGCGACGGCTGCCCCTCACATTCGTGATGGGCCTTCGCAGCCCCAGTAGCTTCCCAGGCAGAGCATGTCCAGGTAGAAGGAGGGAGGCTTCGTCTTCCTTCTCAGCATCTTCTCCCTGGGGGAGCAGAGCAGCCGGCCTGAGCTGCACCCCTCAATAGAGGCCTCCCCTGGATGGGGGCACAGAGGAGGTGGGAGGGCAACGGGGGGGTTGCGAGCTGCCGCATTGACCAGGGCATCCTCACCTGGCTCGCTCGCTGAACGAGATGGGGGCAGAGCCCGGCGGRGCACCGAGGACCTTCTGAGGGCTCGAGTACAGGATGTCAATCTCTGCCAAGAAGGAGGAAAAGCTCCTAAGGAGCCAGGGGCTCCCCGGCGGCAGTCGGGCACGCACTGAGCCCCTGGGGCATCACGTGTGGCCCCAGCACAAGCGCCGTGCGGGGAGTCTGGCGGGGACCCTGGTGCCCGTGGTTGTGTGAGCTTTGAAGGACACCTGGGCACCCTGAGCAGCCCCRCACGGAGGGGAGCACAAGGTGTCCAGCCACAGCCAGGGGTGCTAATGTCAAGGTGTGAATGGAGAGGTGGCAGAGCCGGCATGGCTTTGCACAGCCCAGCTGGAGGCGCAGCGCGGGGTCCCCCGTGGCACCCCCTGCAGCGCCCCCGGCTCTTACCTTGCTGGTCCATGAGGATGGGTGCCCCACCGAGTGACGCCACCGAGTCCACGAGCAGCAGACAGCCGTGCCTGGTCGAGGGCAGCGCTCAGCCCTGCTCCCTGCCACTGCCTCAGAGCCCCGTCCCGTCCCTGCACCGGRGCCCTCGCAGGACCCGCACTGACCGGTGGCACAGCTCGCCCAGTCCTTCCAGTGGCTGCAGCACCCCCGTGGAGGACTCGCCATGTGTGAGGAAGAGCACCGTGGGCTTGTGCCGCACCAGACCCTGCACGGAGAGAGCAAGCGCGCGAGGTGCAGGGCTCGGCCCCGGCACGAGGACTCGGCTCACTGCYGCCCCTGGCACCCACCTCCTCAATGTCCCGCAGGGTGAAGTACTCGCCCGGCGGCTTCCGCAGCTCGTGGACGGTGGCACCTGGTGGGAGTTGTGGCAAAGTGAGGGCTCCTCATGAGCACGCTGAGCTGCCCAGGGCGGTTGGGGCCCCCCGATGGGCACACACCCAGCCTGGCAGCAACATTGGCGGCGCGCTCGCCCCAGATGCCATTGAGGCCCACGAGGACGCTGTCGCTCGGCTCAGCCACGTTGAGCAGGGCGGCCTCCATGGCGCAGTGGCCGGTGCCGCTGACGGCGAGGCTCAGCGCGTTGCGTGTCTGGAAGGCGTACTGGATGCCGGCCTTGATCTCATCCATGACCTGCAGCGAGCCGTGGGGGGCAGCGGGGCTGTCACCACAGCCCTGCTGCCTGCAGGGAGCACGCGCAGGGGAGGCCGGCAGGGCCACSGGGCAGCTCACCTGCAGTATCTCGGGGTGCATGTGGCCCAGGAGCTGGTGGGACGCGGCCGCCAGCACGCGAGGCGGCGCGTTGCTGGGCCCYGGCCCCAGCAGCAGCCGCTGCGGCACGGCCAGCGGCTGCAGCAGCCGCGGCGGCGGGGCCACGCGCAGCTGCGTGGCGGCCATGGAGCGGCGCGGCGCGGCCACGGGGCGAGGCAGCGGCACAGCCCGTGCACCGCCGCGCACCGCCGTGCACAGCATCACTGCCGGCGCGGCCAGAGTGCGGCGGACCCCGACCCCGCCGCAGGGCACTGCCCCCTGCACCACCGCCGTTGACAAGGACTCTGCCCCCAGCTGGTTAATGTGCCACTAGCGCCAGCCCCGCCAGCACATCGCGGGGCAGGGGTCTCCCCGCTGCGATCCCCCRCGGCCACCTCTGCCTGCAGCTGCTRCACCCTGCTTGGGACCCATGGTTCTGGTGGCAGCTCTGCAACTCCGTGACCCCGAGAGCTGCCGGCAGGCCCGGGAGCAGCTCCCTGACCGCGAGGAGCCCCTGTGTTTCTGGTGGACACCAAGGGACCGTGGCTTGGAGCCAGGTGCTGTCTCACTGGCCACCTGCCATCTTCCTGCTGCTGCCTCCCCTGGGACCAGCAGCCTCCCTGCTTGGCCAGCAGCTGGCAGGTGGTGCCTTGTCACTTGGTGTCACCAAGCCCCAACGGCCCTGGCTCCTGCTGGCACCRGCCATCCCCCTGCCACACGATGACGCTTGCAGAGGCCGTCACCCGGCAGGGAAAAGCTGGAGCTCGTGGCTATTTTTAGCTGCTGCCCAGCCCGGCCCACGGGTGGCCATAGTCAGCAGCGGCGTCACTGGCGCATGGTGATGCTCCAGGACTGGCGGATCAGGGTGTGGCCGCGGACTGTGACTGTGCGCAGTTGTGTGTGTGACTGTGCGTGCGACTGTGTGTGGYTGTGTGAAGCTGCCCCTGGCAGGACCCCCAGAACAGCCCCCCACAGGGCTGAAGTAGTTGCCAGGGGGTAGTTGCCCTGGAGACAGTTGCCTGGGAGATGGTTGCTGGGCGGGGGACGGTTGCCAGGGGGCGGTTGCTAGAGAATCTGTTGCCGGGCGGAGGAGGGCTGTTGCCGAGGGGCGGTTGCCCGGGAGACAGTTGCCAAGGGGAGGGGGGCGGTTGCCAGGAGACGCCGGGGG